TCTTCAGAGGTTGTGTCGGGAAGGTGAGCATCATAGAATGCCAATTTACTAGAAGAAAGTATTCTTGTGTTGAGGGAGTACTTGAGTGGAGGGCCTTTGGGCCTTTCTTTGGCCTGTGGAAAACCCCAAACCAAACTCAATGCAATTGACTCGAGTCTGACTCCTAGCAACCCTATGTAAGGCTTCTGAGACTACATCTTTATAGGACAGTCTCCTCTTCCTCCCAAGGCATTGCTGGTGAGTTTGAACTGCCATCTTTGTGGTTAGCAGCCAACACCTAACCTAGAGCACCTCTAGGGCTCCTTTATGGGCTGTGGAAATGCAACAGAAATGAGGAAGAACTTACTAAGTGCTCCTGGCGACATTGGGGCTGACCTGTGGGTGGCTAGGAATGTGGAGGAGTCCTCATCCTGATGACTAACATAGCTCCAGTTTCTTGAGCACGTACTAGGCCTCTCCTGTGTTGGAACCCTTCCCCTTGTCGTCTTCCTGTTGGAAGAAGAGGAGTTTGCCCTCCCTGCTGTATTACTGAGACCATTGAGAGCCAGAGAGGTTACGGGTTTTATTCAGTGTCTTACAGCTAGGAGGCAGCAGAGTCTTGCTGCCAGGTTTGATGCCTCCTCCAAGAGGGGAAGCACAGGTGTCAGTGAGTAGGATGTGGGATTTTTCCCCCTGACCCCCTCCCTTATCTCACTGTCTCTACTTTGTTGTTCTGCATTTGGGATCTAAATTGGGCAGATACATCTCCCAGGCCTGGAAATGATATTTTCACCAACACTTCAGTGTCTCTCCCCTGGCCTGGCAGGCTGACTCCTATTTAACCCCTTCACTCCCATCTTAGTTCCTGTTTACTGCAGCTGCTGACAGCACTGCTTCCCCGGAGCCCCAAGCTCAGCTTACAGAAATAGCTCCCCAAGCAACTTGGGCAGCCACAGTGGGCTCTGTGGTCCTGGCTTCTAAGAAAGGCGGCAGTAAGGGGGCCCCAGCCTGTGCACTGGACACGTGACTTGCTGGAAGTGCCGCTGGGGGTGGAGCTGAGTGTAGCCACAGAACCCACATCCTTGTTTACATCAGTGAAGGGGCTCTCCCGGCCCGCCTTCACAATCTCCACTCCCCTCTCCCCCTTCAGTTCTGTACCTCCAAGAGTCTGGAGGCAGGCAGGCTTCCTTTTCTGTCTCTGAACAGCCTTTGCTTCCCACCCAGAACCCTCCAGGGAGGGAAGGAGAGGACTTTCCTCTCACTGCCTTTAGCTCGGTAGGCCGGCCGGTGATCCTGGGAGCAATTGCGTCCGTCCGGTTGCCTGCGCTGCCCTGTGTTCCTCCGCAGTGCCCTAGGGAGCACTCATCATCCCCCTCCGGGGAAACAGGGAAATCCCCTCATGGCAGCACTGATGTCCAAGCCTGCCATAATTCCCCAGGGAGAAGAGTGCCCGGGCTTCCCCAGCCTTTCCATTCATTCGGCAGAAGGCCTGAACTGGGGGTGGACTTAGGTAAATGGTAGCTACCCTCAGCCGAGTGATTGGACAAATGAAGGTGGGACCCGTTGCCGCATCAGGTAGTAGAAATACCCTTGGTCGGTGAGGAAGGGAAACTATATTAAAGAATGTATGGGTACTTGACAAGTAGGCTGCCCAGGAGGGAGGAAAGGGCATCTCAGAAAGAGGAAATGTCATGTGTGAAGACCCTTAAGCAAGGCAGAGGAGTCCGGTCCTTCTCTCACCTTACCAGAACCTCCCAACACCTGGACCTTTTGGGCTGCAGGCTGCCTTTCCTGACTTTGGCTTAAGTGAGTTGTGTAGTACAAGTTTGTGGGAAAATTCTATTATCCTTTATTTCTACTTTTCCATGACATGTTTAAGGTCACACTCTGCCCCTGCCAGCCCCCCCTCCAAAGAAATGTCCTATGTGTTTCTTGCAGACAATAATCTGGTTTTCCTCACTCTTTGTCCTTTGCAGTACCCTTCTCCATTCAGGCTTCCCCGTGGGGAAAGAGACTCTAATCTACTGAGTGACGACGACGACGACCCCATTCCAAGCTCAATGCTGATTACTTTATGCCCATTACTGTCTTTAATCCCACAGGAGATCTGCCACATAGTTATCCATCTGGTCCCCACTTCACAAATAAGGCAAAAAAGAAAGACTGAAAATATTTGCTTCTGATCACTCAGCTCATTAGTGCCCGACAGAATGAGGTTTAGAGCTGAGGTTTTATTTTGTTTATAACCTGGAAAGACCACACTGTCTGCTGGGAGTCGGGTAAAGGGAATTCCAGCGTTGACTATCAGATAGACTTTCTGTGGGACCTTGGGCAAGCTCCAAATTCCCTGAGTCTGTTTCCTCCTGTGGAGAATGAAAGGGGGTTGGCAATGAGGGTGCTTGAGGCCATTTTTGAGATTTAAGAGTGTCTGTTGGCTTGTCTGAGTGACTAGGAAGGCTCTAAATAGTCTTTTGCCCAAGAAGCCTCTGATTGTCTCTCTCACCTGAGCTCTCTTCAAGATTGTTCCCTGCCGGTCTCTCTTTTGCATGACTTCAGTCCATCCCACTAGAGAAAGAAGTGCTCGGGCCTTGGGGTAGGAAAGGGAATTTCCCTGGCCTCCCCAGCACACAAGAGTCTTCTTTGACTCGGGACACTACGCCGGTGGCAGCTCCAAGCGTAGCCTCCCCTTCTTTGTTTTGTTGTTCCACAGCTGACCAAGTATATGGTGACCAGGACATGCACGAGGTTGTGCGAAAGCACTGCATGGACTATCTGGTGAGCCCTTGTGGAGGCCTTGGTGCAGGGCAGGGCGGGAGGAGCTCCTCCACACAGATCTTGATGTGCCCGTGTTTCTGCAGATGAAGAATGCAGACTACTTCTCCAACTACGTCACAGAGGACTTCACCACCTATATAAACCGGAAGCGAAAAAATAACTGCCACGGTAACCACATTGAGATGCAGGCCATGGCAGAGATGTACAATCGCCCTGTAGAGGTGTATCAATACAGCACAGGTACTTGAGAGACTGATGGTGCCTATGTGAGCCTACCCGACGGGCCCATTGTAGAGACTCCCTCGTTCTCTCTCCCTGCAGAACCCATCAACACATTCCATGGGATCCATCAAAACGAGGATGAACCCATCCGTGTCAGCTACCATCGGAATATCCACTACAACTCGGTGGTGAATCCCAATAAGGCCACCATTGGCGTGGGGTTGGGCCTACCATCATTCAAACCGGGGGTAAGTTGGATCTCCAGGCCCAGGGTAGCAACTCCTCTGTTGGAGTCTCAGTTCCCTACCTCACGAAAATATGTAAATATATTTTTATTTATGTATAATGATAGGGAAGTAGATCTATGTACATATATTTATATGTTAAGTATCAAGGTAGCAGACGGACATTGGGCCTCTACTCAAGTACTCCCTCAACACAAGAACACTTTGTTCTAATAACGTGGCATTCCGTGATGCTCATCTTCCCGACATAATCATTGAAGACAAAATGGGCGCATAGCAAATGTGGTGAAGAAAGCAGATGGTGCCCGCTATCAAAAGATATAGCGTCTGGGGTCTTAAAGGCTTGAAGATCAATAAGCAGCCATCTACCTGAGAAGCAACAAAGTCCACATGGAAGAATCACACTAGCCTGTGTGATCATGAGGTGTCGATGGGATCAAGCATCAGGCATCAAAGACCCAGAACAAAAAACATCCTATCAATGTGAATGAGAGGAGAGTGGAGACCCAAAGCCCATCTGTAGACAATTGGCTATCCTTTCACAGAAGGGTCACAAGGAAGAGACGAGTCAGTCGGGGTGCAGGATAGCACCAATGAAACAGACACTTTTCCTCTGGTTCTTTAATGCGTTCCCCCCCCACCACCACTATCATGACTTCCTTTCTACCTTGCAAATCTGACAAGACCAGAGCATATACATGGGTTGAGATAGGAGCTGGAAACAGGAAATCCAGAACAAATAAACCCCTCAGGACCAATAATGAGAGTAGTGACAGCAGGAGGGGAAGGGGAAGGCTGGGGGAAGAAAGGAGGAACCGATCACAGTGATCTACATATAACCCCCTCCCTGAGGGATGAACAACAGAAAACTGGGTGATGGGGGACATTGGTCAGTGTAAGACATGAAAAAAATAATACCTAAATTATCAAGGGTTCCTGAGGGAGGGGAAAAATATGAGCTGATGCCAAGAGCTCAGGTAGAAAGCAAATGTTTTGAAAAGGATGATGGCAACAAGTGTACAAATGTGCTTGGCTCAATGGATGGATGGATGGATGGATTGTGAAAAGAGCTGTAAGAGCCTCCAATAAAATAATTGAAAACAAAAATATCTTTTCCCCTCTCTGGGTCTCCCTTGAGTAGTACCCGTGTACAAAATTCGGAAGGTAGTTTAGGTAAACTTTAAAGGCTCATTCTGTGGTCTCAGTTTGCTTGTCTGTGAGCTGTACCTGTTTTGAGAGTTGACATTTAGAATGAGAATTGAAATTCCGGAACAGTAAGGCAGGGTTGGTCTGTGTATCTATCTTAGCATCCTCTTGGATTCCACTCCCAACTCATAGCAGTTATAGATGGCTAGAGTCAGAGAGACCTGGAATGCTGGGGACCTAGGGCAGATGGTGCAACTCCTTTGCTTCTCAGAACATGGCTGGTACAGGAAGGGTTTAATATTGAACCTGGTGTGTAGTAGGTGCTCGGGGAGTGAAATGCATTTTCCCAACACACAGATGAGTTTCTTTCTCATAGTCTGCTTGGGATTTTGAGATCTTCTATTCCCGTCTCCCTTCCTACCAACAGAAAAGTACCCCATGTTTTAGGGGAAACATACCCTGATATCAGTACATTCTCCACAGAAACTTTTTTTAATTAAACTTTTAATTTTAGAAAAGTCTTAGATTTAGAGGAATTACTGAGGCTACAGAGAGTTCCTATATACACCACATCCAGTTTTCTCTCTTAATTACCATCACATGGCTTTTTTATCACGGCAGGGGAGCCCTGATGGCATAGTGGTTACGAGTTGGGCTGCGATCCACAAGGCCCACAGTTTGAAACTCACCAGCTGTATAAAGAACTCGGAACAGTTTTGGAAACACGAGGGCAATTAATTCCACCCTGTCCTATAGAGTCGCTGTGAGTTGGCATTGACTTGATGGCAGTGAGGATTTTTATCACAAATGGGCCAGTATTGATACAGTACTCAGTTTTCCGTGTTTTCCTATTGATCTTTCTCTGTGTTTTGTCTTGGCTAATCACACAGTTCTTGTAGTCCTTATTCTGGTTTTCCTTTCTGATCTATCGACTCACGCTCTAGTTTTGCCTTTTGCAGAATGTTGTCATTGACACTTGAGTATATAGCTTTTTCAGACTGGTCTAAGAGCCTCCGTGACTTTTTGTGGCTTGTTAGTTTATATCGTTTTGATTTTTGAAAATTTGAATCATTTGTTTTCTTAGTACTAAACTTTTTTTTCGTAGAACAGTTTTACATTTACAGAAGACTGGAGATGACAGGACAGAGAATTCCAACCCCCAACCTCCCCACAGTCTCCCTCCAGTTCACTATTATTAATATCTTGGTTGGCTGATGTTTTATCAGTTTGGAGGCACACAGGTTTATTGTAGGATGCCCCTCCTGTATTGTATTGAAATGTGTCTGGTTCTCTCCCCATTACACTGGAATTAGGAGTGTTAGGGAGGAAGAACACAGTGGTAAAGTGGCATTTTCATTAAAGGATATTGTGCCAGCATAATTTATGATTCTTGATGCTGACCTTGAAAATTAGGCTGAGGGAGTCTGTAGTCCATCCTTAAGGGGTGGGGAGTTATGTGCCATTTCCTCAAGGGCAAAGGATCTACATAAGTGACTTAAATTCTGTGCAGAAATGAGATAGCCTCTTCTCCGTTTATTAATTTATCATTTAGTATCTCTGCCACAGAGTCGATTCTGACTCATAGCGATGCTATAGGTCAGGGGCAAACTGCCCCCTGTGGGTTTCCAAGACTGTAATTATTTATGGGACTAGAAAGCCTTGTCTTTCTTCTGCAGTATTTCAGTAGGTACTTGGGGGTGTATATTTTATGCATTAAGTTATAATCCAAATACAGGCATACCTCAGATTTCATCTTTGATTTCAGACCACTGCAATAAAGCACAACCCAAATTTTTTTTATTTCCCAGTATATATCAAAAGGTATGCTTCTACTATACTGTACTCATAATAGCTATGAAAAAGTGTAAAATAATTCAAGAAATGCCAAAATATGACAGAGACATAGTGAGCATGTGCTGTTTATTGAAAAAATGGCGTGAGTTTGTTCAATGCAGGGTTGTCACAAACCTCTGTTTTAGAGCAAACACAAACCCCCACGGTATCTGTGAAACATAATAAAATGAGGTGTGTGAGTGTGCTAGCTCCACTTATTTTGGTGCTCAGACTGGCCCTTGCATATTGCCATCATCGGGCACTTGTTTGTTGTTTCAGAGAGAAGGCACCTCTTTACTCTCTGGCAAGACCAGGTTCACACCGTCCACTTAGGTTGCTTTATGCATTGGTAATGTAGCCTTTGTGGGTGTCTTCACACTCTGGGCCCCCATTGACCACCTGAATGATCTTTTAAAAAGCATTTGCATCTATTCGGATGTACAGACGTTACCCACTTCTCACTTACTCACATGGTTAGGTTCCTAAGCCCCAGCCATTAGACGGAAATCAGCGCTATGTGGAAATAATTTCTTATTTAGATTTATTTATTATAAATAATCTAAATGTATTATTATTATTATAGCTTTATTGTAGTGCAAAATGTCAATGAGCTGGTTTATAAGTGAGGCGTACGTGTAGGCACACCACCCTAAAATCACCCTTTTTTCCACCCACTCTGCCCTCTTCTTTCCCCATGATCTCTGGGAACCACTGATCTTTTACTATCTCTGGCAAAAAAGAAAACCAAAGCATCTTGCTGTTCAGTTGATTCTGATTCATAGTGACCTCGTAGGACAGTATGGAACTGCCCCTTGAGGTTTCCGGCTTTATTGCAGCAGACTGCCACCTCTTTCTCCTGCGCAACTGGTGGGTTCAGCCCCAACCTTCTGCTTTAAACCTGTTACTGCGAGGGCTTCTGTTCAAGGTGCCTTTTCCAGGTGTCCTATAGTTGCAGTCACAAAGTATGTGTGCCCTTTTCCGGCTGACTCCTTGCACTTCAAGGATTCTGATTCATAAATCATTTTATTGGGGGTTCTTATAACAATCCATACATCCATTGTACCAAACACGTTTGTACATATGTTGCCATCTTCATTTTCAAAACATTTTCTTCCTGCTTGAGCCCTTGGTATCAGCTCCTTCAAAGACTTTCTATTAAGCGTTTGGTAACGTTAATGGCACCCTTCTTTTCCCCCAACTTTGGCATGGGTCTTTTATTGCTGAATAGTGTTCTGTTGTACAGACATCCCACGGCTGTTGTTTACCCATTCATCTCTTGAAAGATGTCTTGGTTATTTCTGGTGTCTGTGGCTGGTGAGTAAAGCTGCAATGAAGTCTCGTATGCAGCTTTGGTACGGGTCCCGGTTTTCAGGTCACTGGATTATCTGAAGAGCTGCCCAATGGTTCCCACCGCGGCTACACTGGTTTGGGTTTCTGCCAGTAGTGGAGGAGGTTTCCAGTCTGTTGCTCTGCATCTTTGAACATTTGGAATGGTCAGTGTCGAGGATCTTAGTCATCCTCATTGCTGGGGGGTTCTGGTGATGCTGTGGGTTAAGTATTGGGCACCTAGCCATAAAGTCAGCAGTTCAAACTCACCAGCTGCTGTATGGGAGAAAGATGAGGGATGCTGTCTGTACCCACAGAGACTGATAGTCTTAATAAACCCTTTTTAGGGTTGGTAAGAGAATCAACTCAGTGGTGGGTTTGTTGGACTTGTTTGTTCTCTTTTTTGAGCAACAAATGAAAGGCATCCTGGGGGTACATGTGTTTAATTAAACACTTGGTGTCCAGCCAGAAGATCAGTGGTTCGAGTCTACCGGCCAGTCCAACAACAAAAGATGTGAGACTCCTTGGAAACCCTAGAGGGCAGTTGTTCTTTTTATACTTTCCCCCCAACAGTTTTATTGGCACATAGTTTATATATCTTGCAGTTCAATAGTTCAATCATTGGATCATATTAAGAATTGTATAATCGTCACCACATTAATTTCTACTTGTTCTTTGAGGTCACTCACTTTGAGTCAGAATGGACTTGAGGGGTTTGGGTTTTCCTTTTTGTTTGGTGTTCGGTTAAGAACATGATAGTGAATACCTTATGTGTATTTGCCAACTTTGTCTTCGCTTTGGTAAGGTGTCTGTTTTAGACCTTTTGCCTATATTTTTAATTTGCCTTGTTCCAACATAGAGTATGCATGTTTTTATGACTACCACTTACATATAAAATTCATATTTTTATGTCATGACTTAGCCCATATGTATTTGTGAGTTTAGTGGTCTGTAGGGGTATTAAAAACAGTCAAAGTAGAAGTTGCCCGAAACAGTAGTTATACTCATTCCTTGGGTTGTACACTGGTATTTTCTATTTTATTGTTTTAAATGCTGTTATAACTCTATACAAGTCCTACAGCAATACTGCCCTCACACACCGGTACTGCTTCCCCTGCCCACTTGCTCTTTCTTTCTACTCCGTACACACAGCTGCCTTCTCCGGTAATGTTTTCTCTTTTCCCTCAGAGCACTGTGAAACTCAGCCATGTGTGGGACTTTTGCCCCACACTTAGTTCCTCCGTGGAATCATCTTGGGAGTGGGAACAGTGCTTCTGAGCGTAGGAATTGGGAGTGACAGGCTGCGTCGCCCAGACCTGCTTTTTCTCCAGTCCCCGATGAGTAGACGGTCTGGTGAGGGGTGCTTATCCAGAGCACCTGCCTACCTGGCTCCCTATTTTTCTGGGCCTAGTGAGCCCACCTTTCCAAGACTGTCCTGGCTCTTGGCTATGCTTTGAGAGTGCCAGCCACCTCACATCCTTGTTGGTCTCCCCTTTGCAGTTTGCAGAGCAATCCCTCATGAAAAATGCCATAAAAACATCAGAGGAATCATGGATTGAGCAGCAGATGTTGGAAGACAAGAAGCGGGTCACAGACTGGGAGGCCACCAATGAGGCCATTGAAGAGCAGGTGGCTCGGGAATCCTACTTGCAGTGGCTCCGGGATCAGGAGAAACAGGCCCGCCAGGTCCGTGGCCCCACTCAGGTAGGTGGTGAGACTTGTTGCTTGCCTGAACCTCATTTTGACTTTAGCCTTGGTCAAGCCTTGGCACTTGTGCAGAACCAGTTCTTGATAAGAGTGAAGGGGGGATGGCTCCAGGTAGGGCAGCAGCTGGTGGTTACACCAGAGAGGGATGGAGAGCTTCAGGGAGACAGGCTTTCACTGAAGGCCCCGGTTTGCCCTCATTGGTGATCCCCTGTCTATTGAGAGAGAGACACGGCTGGGGCCCTACATCCTGGCTTGGAGGCCAGTGGAGATAAGGGGCTCTGAGCAGGCTTCTTCGAAGAAGTTTATGAGTTTTTAGGCAGGAGAGGGAGCAGAACAGATTGGTATTTGGAATGATGTGCATTGGCAAGAGTTAACTAAATTCAGTAACTATTGCTTGAAGGTCTGTGTATGGAGTAAATCAGCGATCGGGGCAGATCCAGTGTGTTGTCCTTGGGGTGCTTGCCTTCTTCCAGAAGGGAACAACATGGAACACAAGCATAACGAATCAGTTGAGGTGTGCCGGGGCTCAAACTGGAGAGCAGAATAAAAGGAATGGGTAGGGCTGAGTGTTGGGGCTGGAGTTCCCAATATGAAGTACATGGTCAGGGTAGGCCTCCAAGCAGGTGAGGTTTGAGCAAACTTTTGCAGAAAGTGAGAGGGTTAGCTGTGAGCCCATACAGTGGGGAAGGCTTTCAGTGAATGAGGACAAAGCCATTGGGAGGCTTCTGAGCAGAGCAGGGCCTGGGTCTGAGGTTGGGTTTAACAAGCTTCCTCCTGCTGCTGAGTGTAGAACGGAATCTGGAGGGCGAGGGTGGAAGCCAGGGGACAGCAAGGAGGAGGCGGCTGCTGCACAGTCCAGGTGAGTGGTATGGGTGGCAAGAAGATTGGGATTCTGGAAATAGCTTGCAGGTAGAGGTAACAGGACTTCCTGTCAGATTAGCTATAGCGGGGGTTGAGAGAGAAAGGTTAAATAAATAAAGAGTATATTTTTGTCCTGCGGGGAACTCCTGTGTCCTTTCTGTCATTGGAATGATGGCAACTACCTTGTTTCTTAGAGCTTCTCTGATAGAAATACCACAAGTGTATGGCTTTAACAAGCACATTTTATTTTCTCACAGTTTGGGAGGCTAAAAGTCCAAATACAGGGTACCTGATCTTACTGGAAGGCTTTCTCTCTGGAGAAAGATCCTTGTTTTGGATTTCATGGTCCGGCCTTCCCCCGGTCCTTGGCCAGCTCAAGTAGCCTCTTTCTTTCCCCCAACTGTGCGAGCATGCTCCTGTGTCGAATCTGCTCTTTCTATCGCAAACGTGATGGCTCTGAGTAACAACAAAGAAAACTCTGTCCTCAAACAGGATTGCGCTCCCAGGTACAGGGGTAGGATTGCAACACGTGTTGAACAGACCAAAAAAGTCGAGGTTTGAGGGAAAGAGGGAGCACTCTGGGATGGGGCAGAGGAGGGTCAGGGCTGATGTTGGCCCTTACCTCCTTTTTCTTTCTCCGTTCCAGCCCCGGAAAGCCAGCGCCACGTGCAGTTCGGCTACAGCTGCAGCCTCCAGTGGCCTGGAGGAGTGGACCAACCGGTCCCCGCGGCAGCGGAGTTCAGCCTCATCTCCTGAGAACCCTGAGCTGCATGCTGAGCTGGGCATTAAGCCCCCTTCTCCAGGCACTGTCTTAGCTCTTGCCAAACCTCCTTCACCCTGTGCACCAGGTTAGTGACTTGCTCAGAGAGAGAGCATTGGGATGAGGGGGTGCTCCCTGGGTCCTGCCTCCTGCCTCTGCCTCTTAACTGTCCATCTGTTCCAGGTACAAGCAGCCAGTTGTCAGCAGGGGCCGACCCGGCCAACTCTCCTCTTGTGTCCCTCTACCCTGCTCTGGAGTGCCGGGCTCTCATTCAGCAGATGTCCCCCTCCGCCTTTGGTAAAGCCTCTTCTGTCTCGGGGACTGGGAGCTGGGACCAGAGGGGAGGAAGAAGCAGATCCTGAGGGACTTTTGGTGACTGGCCATCTTTCTAAGAAAAGGAATGAGAGGGAATTTTTCAGCCCCTGATATCTACCCCAAAAGACAATGGAGTGAAGTTTTTTTAGGCCCGGGAGAGCCTTCTCCCCAGAGTGAGGAGTAAGAGGGGCCTTGCGGGTGGGGGTGGGGGTGGGGGTTTCTTGATCTGTGTGTGAGCCTGGAGTGGGTTCCTCCAGAGCCAGGATGGGGAGAGAGCATCAGCTTCACACCACCTTCTCCCCTTCCTCTTGCTCAGCAGGTCTGAATGACTGGGATGATGATGAGATCCTAGCATCGGTGCTGGCAGTGTCCCAACAGGAATACCTAGACAGTATGAAGAAAAACAAAGTGCTCAGAGACCCGCCCCCAGACAAGAGTTGATGTGGAGACCCAGGGACTGGAGGCCGTCTCCCAACCCCACCACTTCTGCCCTTTGGTGCCACCCCCACGTTCTTTGGCTTTCTTCCCTGTTGCCATCTTCCCTTTGCCCTCTTGAGAGCCCCTCCTCTGCCTCGCTCTCAATTCCCCCTGGCTGGCCCACCCCTGTGCCGCCCCCTCTCATCGCTGCCGCCACCACCGTCTCTGTCAGCTGATGTGCCCTGTTGCCCCCCGCACAGCATCCTCCCTGCATTCCACAGGGGACTTGGGCAAGGGTGCCGAATGTAGGTGAGAGGCATGCGGAGATACCACCTGGCAGCCAGGCAGCCCCAGAGGAAAGGCGTTCAGACAGAGCAAAGGTCTCACTGTTCATTCCTTTCGAGATCAGAGGAAAAACTTGTTCCTCTGCCCCCGATGATACCAGGGAGGTGGGGGAGAGAAGCGAGGAATCCCCTTCCCAGTACCCCAAGATTGTCTGAGCCTTCAATGTGGAATTTTTCTTTATTAAATTTTACTTTTATCTTACAAAATGAACTAATCCAAAATGATGTAGACAACAGCATTGGCTCTATGGAGGTGGCATCTCTCTGGTTTGGGGACAGGAAGGCTATGTGTGTGGAGGGGACACAGGTGTGGGTGCTGTGGGAACTGAGCTAGGGGTGGGTAAGCACGTGTCAGACTGGATGTGGACAATGAGACGCTGGCCTCCCTGCATTCCTTTAGCTTCTCCCACTACCACCAGTCTCTTTGGAATATCGGGACTGGGGGGAGGCATCTTCGGGGATCATAGCCGCCACCCAGGATTTGAGCGTGGGGAGTGGGAGCAGTCTCAGCAGATGGGCACCTGTGTCCTGCAGGTGTTGACAAGATCTGCCATCTGTATCGTCCTTGGCACAATAAAACCAAATGTCAGTTTCCCATGAGCGACTCTGTTCTATGTGGGGCAGTAGGTGGGCGGGCCAATGGGCAAAAGCAGAGATGGGTACTGGCCTTAACTTGACCTCAGAGGCCCCAAATGTGACCGGGTAGGGCCCACCTGGGACCCTGGAGTTTGTTCAAATAGGAGGAATTCGCTTAGTAAATTCTGTGGACGGACCTCTCGGCACCAAGAAAGCTGCACCGTTGTCTGCTGCTCCTCCCACCATAGCATCGGTGCAGACGCTCGCCGCCCACGGGGTTTCCTCCGGTGCACTAGGCCAAAGGACTAGGAGCACCCTGAGGGCAGGAACTGCGTTTTCTGTCCGAATTATAACTTCTCCACCTGCCTCTTGTACCACACACATTTGCTCTTGTGTGTTCGAAAAGCACAAATGATACGTGAGTTTGGTGGATGAGCTCAGAGGCCTGGACAACTGTTTCAACAGCTGAGGAATAACTCAAGATCTGTTTTTCTGTGTCCGGCCCAGTTCTCTGACACCTATTTTATCATCACGGCCTCATTGATAAAATGATAAAAGTGGTTAGCTGTGAGTCTGGTCAAACTTGGCTATGTGGGAGAGTTGCTTCAAAACCTGTGGCTTTTTACTAGCTGCCTCACTATGGTCAGATCAATTTGCCCAAGTTTGACATCTCCCATCTCTGCCCACTGCTTCGTACTCTGGTGGTGGGCATTGAGAGACAGTGGGTGGTGTGGTCAGTGTAATAGGTGGCCGGGCACGGTGCCTGGCATGTTCGGAAAGCGCAAATGGTAGCACCTAGTCATCGTCTCCATGCTGGGCTTGCTGCACACTTTGTCCCCTGCCTACCTCTCCTTGCTGTTCACAGCAGTTTCCCTGACCTCTGCCTGGAATTTGCCTTTACCCAGCCACCAATCTTCCAAGACTGGGAAAGGGTCACCTGAGAAGCCCGTGTGACCCCATTCATCCCCTCTTCACAAATACATTACTTCCCCAATACTATGTAAACATCTGGGCAAGCTATCTCAGATATCTCCTCGCCCCCCACCCCCCCAGGGCAAAGCCAAACCAGTTGATATCAAGTCCATTCTGATTCATGGTGGCCCTGTGGAACTGCGGAGAACTGTTCAGAGGGTTTCCAGGGCTGTGGATCTTTCAGAGAGCAGCCTGTTGGATTTTTCTCCTGTGGAGCAGCTGGCAGATTTGAACTGAACCCCTGATAGGCAGCTGAGTGCTTAGCCACTGCACCACCAGGGCTCTGCCAGCCTTACAATAGACACCCCCCCCCCAAAAAAAAGTTAAGGTAAGAGGAGTTCATACAAGTTATTTGCTCTTTTGGGGGGTATTGTCTGAGAATGTGACTGGTGAGCCCCAAGTCTTCAAATGATGGTATGCATCTCACTTAGGAGTAGCTCCAGTTGGGGCTGTGTGTGTTTAAGTGTGTGAGAAACAGACGTGTGTGTGTGTCCACATGACTGGGGGACTCTGACAGTCTGTGTCTGCCCAAGACAGTGTGGATCTATGACAATGCTGCTGTGGTTTCTATCTGATGGGGTATATATATGTCTGTGTTTATTCCTGTGGCAGATTCCGGGGTGCTATTTCTGGGCAATTTGAGTGACAAGGCTGTCTGTCTGATGGCACATGCATGTCTGTGGCTGGTTCCACTGTCTCCCCATGTTTTGGGGACACTGCATTGCTCTGTGAGCCTGTCGTGTCGGTGTGTCTGCCTTAGGAGCTGTGCGTGTTATATCTCTGGAGCATCTTGTATTTTCCAGAGTCAGACTCTGGGTCTCCTATTTCTGGACAGCCCAAGTCTCTCTCTGCATGTCTGCCTGATAGGACATTTCCACATCATTGTTCCATGGCAGTGCCCCCGTACACTGGACTGAAGTACCTGTCATCGGCACCAGCCCAACTGTGTCTCACTCTGCTACAAGCAGCAGCATTTCTAGGTATCATTCTGGGGCATTGCTTTATCCGACAGTGTGCCTACCTGGCAGGATATGTTCGTGTGTGACGCGCATGTCTGTGTGTCACATTTACATGAATGGGGCAGTGCATGTTTGTCTGTGAGAGGGTTTCCAAAAGCTCGTGGGAAAATGGGGTTTCTCACAAGCCCTTTGAAGACCCTGGTAGTGCTGTCCAGTAAGTGTTGGACTGCTAACCACAAGGTCAGTGGTTCAAACCCACCAACTGCTCCTTGAGAAGAAAGATGAGCCTCTTTGCTCCTGTCAAGATTTATAGCCTTGGAAACGCTATCTAGAGAGTCGCTGTTGACTCCAGTGGACTCTGTGGCAGTGGGCTCCTCCCATATCCTAGCCCGTACATCTGAGAAGGGTCCGTCAAGTATGGCTAGGGCTCCAGCTCCTCCCTGCACAGACTTATCCTCAACAAAGTGTGTGTAAACACATCTGTGATCAGTGGGTAGCTACAGACAAGTTCTATCTTCGTTGCCTTAGAGTGCCTTAAGAAAACAACCAAGCAGCTTCCAAGGGGACCTGCTGGGCCAGTTAAAGTCAAGGCAAAGAGGTCATAGTGACTGCTTTTTAGGGTTCCAAAGGGGTGCTCTTGACATTTGCTTGAAGAACACAGAATGATTGCAAGGGCTTATTAGGAAGACGTTTGAAAAAAATGGAAAATTGTTGGTAAGGAAAAGGCCAGGAAAGTTGTGCCGATGGTTTTTTTCCCCCATCACCACATTTCTTGGAGGGGATAGTAAGTCTGTCCTAGCAGAATTTCATCCCATGGGGGGCAGCCTCACCCCATCCACCTCTTTCTCATTCAGACTTCCTTTTCCCCGAACTTCCCCCCCCCCCAAACTCTTGAACACGATTTCAGTCCTCAGGGATGCCCGAACCGCCATTTCAATGTGGCATAAATAGAAGAGGGCAGAATATTTCCAGGAGGTTTGGGGAGATGGAAACGCCTCCTTCAGAAGTGTGTACACATAGGTGGGGGATGTGTAGTGAGGAAAGCTTCACGTTTTGATATTTTTAACAAAGGTTTGTACAATTTTCTAGTAACACTGACATGCTCTGGGATCCAGTGCCTTTGGTGTGTATATCTGTCTCAATGGAGTGGAGAAGCTCTCTGGTGGTCTAGTTTTCACATCTTTGTAACAGGGAAAGGAGCCCTGGTGGCGTAGGAGTTACGCCTTGGGCTGCTAGTTGCAAGATCAGCAGTTCTAAACCACCTCAGCGGGAGAAAGATGAGGCTTTCTACTCCAGTAAAGAGTTGAGTCTCCGAAACCCACAGGGGCAGTTCTACCGTGTCCTACAGGGTCGTTATGAGTCGAAATCGACTTGATGGCACTGAGTTTTTGAGAGTCGCGATTAAGGGAGGGACCTTAAGCCACCTCTACAGCCCTTTCTTGGACCCTGCACTCATCCAGAAACACACTTCTGCCCTAGCTTGCCCTCTCCTCTCATGAACCACCCTCCCTTGTGGTTCCCGCTGGTTGGGCCCACAGCTAGGTCTAGCCAGGTCTAGCTAAAGTTAAGGGATCCCCAAACACCCCGCAGACCGCCCACTGGGGCACGGGAATGCTGCTACCTTTGGACAGTAAGTACATTTTCCACAGTGCTGGTCAGGGGCGTTGGTTACCCCTCCTTAGCACCTAGACTGGATATTCCGGGGGGGCCCCTACTTCAGTGCTCCAGGTGGTAGCTGGCAGTCTCAGAACGCTCAGCCTGGGTGAGTAGCACCCATTGTGACTAGCCTAGTCATAGGCTCGATTTTAGAAGCCAGGAATGGAAGCATCTCTGCGTTCATGTCAATGCGGCCATGACAAACCCAACTTCCTAGGGAAGGGGGCTGTGTAGATAGGTGTTTTTAAAGTTTTTGTTTATGTGTAAAAACCCCGCGCAACAACCCAAACAAAAGAGGGTGCTGCAGAAGGATTCCCAGAATCGGTTTCTTCTCTGCAAGCATCCCACCTCGTGCCGCCCTCCTTTGTATGCAGGTCCCGCCCCATGTAAGAACCAGGCACACATTTGCATAAAGGGGTACTTAAAACATAGACGGTGGCTTGCAAATAAGGACTAGCTCCTATTGGCTGGGGTACAGCAGGTGCTGCGTCCCGATTGACCAAACTCAAGAGGGCGGGGCCGTCGCCCAGGGCGACTCTCGCGGGCGGCGCGTGCCCCTTCTCAGAAGCATCAGCGCTGGCGCATGCTGTGGAGCCTACCGCTGCACTCTGTGCTGGCGTGACTGGGCCGCCGATTTCCATCACTTCCATCCTGGCGCCCCCTGGCCCGGGCTCCACAGCCGCTCTGCCCCGGGTGCCCCAGACCTGCAGGCTCAGCGGGCTCAATCTGCGCAGCGTCTCCATGTTGACCAAACCTCAGCCAGAGCTTCCCGCGCCCCCCGTAGCCCCCACGCTGCCGCCAGGTGAGTGCAGTTTCCCTTACCAGGACCTGGCGGGGGCAGGTTGCAAGACCGAAGGGCAGCATGGGGGAGGGGTTCACAACCCAGGGAAGCACACCATCACCCTGACTTCCTCACCTCTGCCCGCCCGCCCGCCCGCCCGCTCGCCCGCGCAGGAGGCAAGAATCAAGAAGCATTTGAGGCCGAATACCGACTTGGCACTGTACTGGGCAAAGGGGGCTTTGGTACGGTCTTCGCGGGACACCGGGTAGCGGACCGACTCCAGGTATTCACTACGGAGGTCTTGGGAGGGTCAGGTGTGGGGGGGTGTAGTGGGTGAAGGGATGGGGCTTGAGATGCTGGTTGATTGGGGAGTGAGCTGGTGATGTGTGTAGTAAGGGCTGTGAGAACCAAGATGCGAGGGTTTAGCTGCTGGGAGGATCCATATTTGTGTGTGGTGGGGGAGGGGATTTCAGGTTTTTTTGGGGGGGCGTCTATGAAGGGCGGTGATATAGGGAATTTCTGGACAAGGATTCAGGAGGTCCGGGGATTGAGATTAGGGAGTAGGGGTCAGAGGGACATTAGCCCCTGGACTTCAGTGGGCCTGTGTATGTATGTGTGGGAAGGTGGGGAACCCAAGTCTGAGATTTTTGAGGGATCTGTAGGCAGGTATGTGGAGTTGGGTGGACCAGGTCCTGGTACAGAGTTGATCGGGGTTTGGGGGTGGAAGGAAATAGAGAATTCAGAAGCTTGGCACTGAGGAGTTGTGAAGCCTGAGAAGGGAGAGCCCAGGGCTAAGGATGGTGGGAAGGTTGAACTTGGTTCTGAGGACGAAGGCAAGGCAGAAACTCTGGACCATGATGGGGTGTGGCATGCGTGATGCGGTGTGCGGTTGGTAATCTGAGAGGCAAGGGTGCTGGCTAATGAAGACGCACTGGAAGTGGGCAAAGAGTCGACTGGGGGTGGTCACCTGTTAGTCCCCTCACCCTGGCCCTTTTCTGCAGGTAGCCATCAAAGTGATACCGCGGAATCGGGTGCTGGGCAGTTTCCCTCTGGTGAGTACCTCCAATGTACTTCCTGACTAGTGGACTCCTCACCTCTTTTTCCTTTCTAAGGGATGGATGATTCCCTGGGTCCAGTAACAGAACATTACTATTAGCCCTTGCTTATACCCCTGAGGTGAAATGCATACCCCAATACCACTCTGATTCTCCCCAGTTCCTCCGAGGGTCCCCGATTCTCCCCTCCAAGCCTTTTTTTCTCACCTACCCACCAAATCCTGTTTGGTGGGGGCTGTCCGCAGGGCATGCTGGTGAAGAAAAAAGGTCAGAGGTCACTGGTTGCTATAGCAATGGTGGCTGCTCTTTCCTGCTGTTACAGAGCAAACAGACAGCAGGGCAGGTCTGGGCAAGTTGTAATGGCCAGAGCGCCCCCTGGTGGTGTTTAGGGACACTGCGCGTGCGCAACCCGTGGGACTTGGAGAAGGTGCGCCTGCGCAGCAGTTTGATTTGCATTACCGTGAGAAAACCTGGCTGCGTCTGTGCAAGTCAGTGTCCTGGCTAGGAGAGGGTCCCACCTTAGGCCCTCTAGCCAACAGTGTGCACACGCTGAGCTTCCTAGAATGGGTATGGCAGCTTTTTGACCAGTAAGATTCACACCTTTTACTGAGTTCTCCCTATAGACCTCACGCTTTGGTTCATCATCAAAGTTTACTGTGTTCCTGGTTCTACTGAGCCCTCTCGTTCAACACTCGATGAGCTGCTTGGTAACAATGACATCATATCACAAGATAACCCTGATTGAGTTATTACTTTGTGCGAGGTCCTTGGCAGTTAATCACTTTCAGCTACTGAACAAATAGATTTTGGGCACCGGACCGTGTGCTAGGCACTATTTCTGGCACCAGGCAAAATATCACATGTTTACTGAGCGCTCATTTTGTGCTGGGTCCTTTTCTATTCATTACTTCTGCCCATTTAACAAAGGTTCATCAAAGTTCATCCCTGTTACCGGAGTCCCTGAGTATCACAAATGGTTAATGCGCTTGACAACCAAAAGGTTGGCAGTTTGAGTTCACACACACTGAAGAAAGGCCTGGTGATCTAACCCTTGAAAACCTTCTGGAGCACAGTTCTACTCTGACACAGCACGTGGGATTGCCAAGAGTTGGAACTGAACTCGATGGCAACTAGTTAGGGTTGGCCTGCTCTATGGTTGGCACTGCTCATCGATGAACAAAACCAATCATTTGACTGGAATGGTGTTGATTGAGTGTTATGTAAAGTGCTTTCATCTATTTAACACTAACTGAGCATCTACTATGTGTAAGGTACTGTTCTAATCTTTTGGGGTGTATCAGGGAGCTAAGCATATAAACTATTACATAATAGTATTTCCTAAGTGCTTCCTCTGCCAAAGGCCTTTTGCTAAGAGCCGCTTAGATTCTTTGAGGGTACTGGGCTCCTGTGTGCCTGATGTGCATAGGCTCTTTGCTTCCTTCACGCTCTCACGGGCTCTGAATTTGAGTATTTAAGACAAAGAAACTAGATGGGGGAGGGAGGGGATAAAGGGGAGCTGATATCAAAGACCTCAAGAAGAAAAAATGTTTTGAAAATGATGTGGCAGTAATTGTACACTTATGCTTGATCTAACTGAACTATAGATTTTTAGAACATCTGTAAGAGCTCCCAATGACGTGACTTTTAAAAAAAAAACCCGAAAACAGGCCCTGTTCAAAGCCACGCCCAGACAGGCTGCCTAGGAGCTCTGCTCTGAGCCCACGAGAGTAGTGGCCACAGAGCCACTGGCCTGACATACACCCTTTCCTTTCCCGCCCCCCCCCAGGACAACTCGGCCACATGCCCACTGGAGGTGGCCCTGCTTTGGAAGGTGGGTGCCAGTGGTGGACACCCTGGTGTGATACGCCTGCTCGACTGGTTTGAGACACTAGAGGGCGTCATGCTGGTTCTCGAGCGACCTTCACCTGCCCAGGATCTCTTTGACTATATCACGGAGCAGGGTCCACTGGGTGAGAGCCGAAGCCGCTGCCTCTTTGCCCAGATAGTGTCAGCTGTCAGGCACTGCCATGCCTGCGGAGTTGTCCACCGTGATATCAAGGACGAGAACATCCTGATAGATCTCCGCCGGGGCTGTGCCAAACTCATTGACTTTGGGTCTGGCGCCCTGCTTCATGATGAGCCCTACACTGACTTTGATGGTAAGACTTGCCTAAACCCGGGGGGTGGGGGGTGGGGGTGGGAGCTGGGGGGGGGTTGTCTTTTTTACCTTTAGTGTTATGAGCTTTTAACCTTTAACCTCTAATGCTCGAGTGATCTGTAACCCTTCTTTATAAGGTGGCTTCGATTCCTCTCGAGCCTTATCTGCCGATAAAGTCCATCTGATGACAATGCCCTCACTTTTTTGTGGGCACACCCAGGAAGGGGAACTTGGTTTTATCCTGAATGCACTCTTATTTTCAAAATGAGTGTGCCCTTTGATTGAAGGCGTGTTTATTCTTGGGATGGGACCTGTTCTATTTTGAAGTGCTCCTATTCTGGTGGTATAGTGGTTACCCATTGGGCTGTAGTCTGAAAGGTCAGCAGTTCAAAACCACCAGCAGCTCTCGAGGAGAAAGATGGGGCTTTCCACTCTCGTGAACAGTGACAGTCTCAGAAACTCATGGAGCAGTTAGTTCGACCCTGCCCTATAGGGTCACTGTGAGTCAGCATCGATGACTCAATGGCAGTGAATTTTTTGCTTTTTAATTCGGGTAAGGCAAGCCTGCTCTTACAGTGAGTGCTCTTAGTTCTGGGGAGGAGAGCATACTTCCTGGGGAGAGTAGTGGTATAGGGGAAGGGCAGAATCAGAAAGTGATCTCTCAGTTTGTGTACAGGGACAAGGGTGTACAGCCCCCCCGAGTGGATCTCTCGACACCAGTACCATGCGCTCCCGGCCACCGTCTGGTCACTGGGTATCCTTCTATATGATATGGTGTGTGGGGACATTCCCTTCGAGAGGGACCAGGAAATTCTGGAGGCTGAACTCCACTTCCCTGACCATGTCTCCTCAGGTGAGGCTCTCGCTGACCCCAGCCCAGCATACTCCCACCCTTCCAGAGAGTGATGTCTCCCTACTGCTGCTCATCAATCTCCCTTTTACTTCTGCCCTGCAGGCTGCTGTGCCCTAATTCAGCGGTGCCTGGCTCCCAAGCCCTCTGCTCGGCCTTCACTAGAAGAGATCATGCTGGACCCCTGGATGCAGACACCAACTGAGGAAGCACCCCTCAGCACCCCCAAAGGCGATTCCAACCCCTTGTCATGGTCCATGGTGCCCTAGGTCTATCCAGCCCCCGTCACTGGCGGAAATAGCCACATCATAGCCATGTCACAGTTATAGTTTGGACACGTACTGATCTGGTTTTACAGGTCATCAACAATCCAGTGTTACTAGGGGGATCGACAGTGTTACTACAGGCGTTGGGGGTGAGAAAGACATAGGCAAGACTGCCTACTCCCTGTCCCAGTCCTACTAAGGAGCCTTCTTGTCGCTTCTTGTGGAGTGGGGCTTTCTTGCTTTCCGTTTTGCTAAGGATGTTCGTTTGAAGTCACTCATTTTAAGCCTCACAATTCTTAAATTCTAATAGGTTACATCCCCTACTTCACCGGCCCCTCTTATTACCATATACACTTTTGTTCACATGCCCACACTTGGGGCAAGGGTGCTTTCTTTCCAATATCCCAGCAGCCTTTATGTTGACAAAGGGACCCTTTCCCTTAGCCTTAGGTCCCATATTCGGTCAAGCTGCTTGCCTACCTCAGCCCAGTGTTGCTTATTCTGGGGGAGGCGATGCCCTGTTGTTATCCGAGGGCTTTTTGTTTTTCTTCACTTTTCACTTTTGGTGAGGGGATCCTACTGTTATCTCAAGTGCTCTTATTCTGGTGAGGAAAACCCAACTTCCATGGCTTGAGAAAGAATGGGAAATGGGCAACATCAGAAACTAGGGTGGGTGGGTGGCTTTTTTTGAGAGATGAGTTAAGGTGAATTTTCTGAGAGGGGGAATTAAGTCTTTGTTACCTGTTCTTCTGGGGCCTCCTCTCCCACACTGGCAGTTTTGCTGCCTAGGAGCCAAGGTTGTCCAGTTGAAGAAATGTAAATACTTATGTATTGGGGGATCTGGAGTGCTCCCCTTCCCCTGTGCCTGGATTATTTAAAAAGCCACGTATGGAAGCCCACTATTTAATAAACGCAATAAAACCAAAGGTGACTGACTGGCCATTCAGAGATACGGAACCCTGAGCCCCAAGGAAGATCAGACAGATCGCGTCTCTACTTTGGGGTACCTGACGAAGTCTTAGGGGCTTATTGGAACAGGCTCACAAAGAAACACTGCCCCTCACCCTAGCACTCATGCTAAGTACATGCAGGAGGACTCCATGGGAGAGAAGTGAGAAACAAGCTGCATTTCCCATCTTCACCTTTCCCCCTGCTCAACCCTCTCTTCGCTCCCTCCTCAACTGCCCTGCACTATATAGCATCTTTGTTTTACGTGTCTGGCATCGCTGCCACCCTCCTCCGACTCTGCTTTCAAATGCCATTTGACCAGTGAGCACTTTTCCCTGCTGGCTTACCTGCCTTTCCTGTCGCTGTGCCTGTCTGTCCCCATCTCCCTTTTACTTCCCCAACCCTTCCCTTGCCCAACCCTCCCCTCCCAGGTGCAACTCTGCTTTCTTCAGCGGTCTACCTTGAACCGCACTCCTTTGATAGGCTGGCGTACTTGAGTGACGCTCACCTGCCCTGCCCCTCGTCCTCAGGCCTCTCAAACCTGATGTTCCCCTTGGATTCCCGCGGGCTTCCTACGGGGCGGGGCCTGACGGAGGCGGGGCGAAGTGGGACTTCAGCCCCCACCGAGTGTACTTCGGAGTTCCTGATTTCGAAAGGGAGGTAGCTGAAGGAGATGCCAATGAGACGCCCAGTTAGACGAGATTGACAGTGGTGGGACTGGGTAGGGAGCGGGGCCCAGGGATAAATGAACCAATGAGACGAAGAGAAAGGATGGGCGAGTGACGCGCAAGCCAGAGAAGAAAGGTGGCCAAAAGGGAAGCCACGGGCGGGTTTAATAGTTGCGATGGACCGAGAAGGCTATGCAAAGTGGGCGAGCGGCGTCGCCGGCCGCGTCCCCAGTCCCTCGGGCCCAACCTCGAGGAAGCCCTCTTAGATTCCGCGGCCGAGTAAAACCTGTGTCCAGTCCGACCCCGCACTGTCCCCACCCTCACTCCGGCTACTCGGAAGCGGAAGTTACAGACACGGAAGTGGCCTGCTGTTGCCGAGGGGACGGGCCAGGCAGATGCCAACATGGCAGCTGTTGGGGCTGCTGGTTCCACTGCGGCGACTGGGCCAGGGGTGGTCCCAGTGGGGGCTTTGGAGCCTGGGACCGCGAGTGCGGGTGAGACGGGCTGCGGCCAAGCAGTCCGCGGCGGGGCGGGGGCTGGGATTGCTGCGATCGGGAAGATTCCTCGCTGAAACTAAAGGGAGCATCCCTTATGCACCGACCTATGCCTGTCAGAAAGGGAGAACAGGGTGGACCATTGTGAATGCAGAGAAGACACCCTTCTGATGGTGGTCCTTCCTTTTATGGGACCCTAAGACCTTCTGAGCATGTGGAATTCTTTGTAGAAGGGACAGAACATTGGGGGGGGGGCTCATCCTTAGAGACTGGAAAGACTTCTGAAGGTGGTGGTTTCTTCCTTATAGAGAGACAGGGGCCCCTTTGAGTTAGGGTGGGGCGAGGCCTTCCTGCTATGAGTAGAAGGTCCATTTTGACAGGATGCCATTTAGTATAAAGGGAGACATTTATTGCAGGGTGGGGATGGGGGCAGTCTCCTTAATGGAGGTAGAGTTCGTTTTATGGTGAAGTAGGAGAGTTCTTCCTTATACGACAGAGAAAGAATGTTTGGAGTGTGCTGGGGCCTGCCTTGTGAGTGTGGGTCAAACGCAGAAAACTCACTTCACTCTCATCCAGTTGATTCTGGCTCATCGTGGCCCGATAGGACAGGGTAGAATTTCTCTGTGGATCTCTAAGGCTGTAAATCGTGAAGTAGAATGCCCCATCTTTCTCCCTCGGAGCAGCCCTGTTCCCGGGGTTCCTATGATTGTGGGCAGAACAAGGAATAATACAAGGAGTAGAAGTGAATGGAGGTAGGAAAAAGACTACTATGGAGTCCTGAGAACTGGTTCCTTTTATGGTTGAGGGACCCAGACCATGGTCAGCAGGGTACTCAATCCTTCCTTGTATGGGAGTTTAATCCTTAGGACAGTGGGAGAATCATGTTGGACCTCAGTCTGGTTTGGGAGGAGTATGCCGTCGTGGGGAAGGGTTTGAGAGGGCATTCTGGGGACAAGGATCATTCCATATGGGATGCGTAGACCATTCTGAGTGAGAGAACTGGAGCATTTCTTCAAGTCGACCATTCCTTGGGAGATTTACATGCTTTATATCAGCAATCTCATTCCTGGTTTGGGATAGCATTCTTTACCTGGGACAATGTTTTGTTGACTAGGAGTATCGTTTCATAGAGATCTTTCATTTTCTCAGCTCTGAAATGAGAAACCATGTAGTTCCTTTGACCATCAGCATGATAGAGGAGGCCATTGAGGTAATCCATATGGATCCCTTAACTCAGTGACAGGCATATGGTTAGCAATAAATGTCAAGAATGTAGTTGTTTGGTATTCTGTCTAAGGGAGAATTCTCACTCGAGAGGTAGAGACAGGGTCCAGGGGGATGTTCAGAGCCTGCTCAACTACTGACACCTCAGTAAGGATTCCGGGTATGGGCTGTACTTGGCTGTAGCCAATTCTGCCTTTGGCTGAGGCAATGGAAGGGGGCGAATCAGGCCCACATCGGGGTGGGGTGGAACGGGCCAAGGGAGGAGAAAGTGTTGGTGGCTAAGAGGATCCTGGTTGAGAAGAGAGACGGGACAAGTCATGCAGCTCTGATCCTCTCCTTCTCCCCTGGTCCTTCTGTTCCTTACAGCTCACCGGCGCCTCAAGTACATATCCTTAGCCGTGCTGGTGGTCCAGAATGCATCCCTCATCCTCAGCATCCGCTACACTCGCACGCTGCCTGGGGATCGCTTCTTTGCCACCACCGCTGTGGTCATGGCAGAAGTGCTCAAAGGTCTCACCTGCCTGCTGCTGCTCTTCGCGCAGAAGAGGGGTATGAACCAAGGGGGCGGGTGGGGGGATTGGTGGGTGGTATTCTACACACATGGAAAGTTGGTTGGGAGAGTTTCTGTCTGTGAAAATGCTGGGGGAGTGTATACAGGCAGCTAAGCTGCTTTGCTTCCCATCCCTCCGGCTCTTCAGTAGCTGCGCCCTCACTTTTATACTCCTAAGGCCCCTGGAACTGACCTCTGTGTAGGCTGTACGAGTGAGAGAATCTATGCCCATAAAAAGTCCACAGGGTAACAGGTGACTCTTACCTGACAGTTTGTTTACTTACTTTCTATTATGAAGAATTGTAATAAAATACAAAATCAAATAGAAGAGTAACGCCATGTGCCACCTGCCAGATCAAACAGTTGTCCGCTGCTGGACCCTCAGCCACTCAGCAGGGTCGATGATCCCCGGTCACGCTGTCTGCAGACCCTCTGTCCCCTAGCATTTTGAGGTAAATCCCACATGTCATTGTACACATAAATGTTTTAGTACATACTCCAAAAATGAACTGCAATAACTAATTCCTACCTCAAAAAAAATGACAGGAAGTCAAATGCTAACAGTCAAATAACAAAATAACCAGGTTGTGTTAAAATGTGTAATTATGTTTTAAATGTCATAAAAGTTCATAAACATTTGAACCAAGTTTGTATACTGGCAGTGTTTTGTTGATAGGCCCTTTTAGTCTGTTAGTCTTCAAACAATCACAACAGCAACAGACCAAATGTACCGCCATCGAGTCCATTCTAACTCATGGTGACCTCATAGGACAGAGTCGAATTACTCTTTTGGGTGTCTAAGACTTTAAATCTTTACTGGAACAGAAACCCTCATCTTCATCCTGAGGAGCAGCTGGTGGGTATGAACCAGTAACCTTATGGTTAGCAGCTCAGTGAGTAGCCCAATATGCTTATGCCACCAAAGTTCCTTATAAATCTGTAAGTCCCACCTCCCCCCACTGGTGCTTATTTCCCCCTCTTGCAAGTAGACTTTGGGTAGTCTGGATTTGACTGATAACCTCCCTTGTGGTATCATGTAATATGTTCTTCTGTCCTTTGGTAGCATAGTGGGTTATACATCAGATTGCTAACTACAAAGTCATCAGTTCGAAACCAGGAGTCACTCCAGTGGAGACAGGCAAGGCTTCTACTCCCATAGAGAGTGATAGTCTTGGAAACCCTGAGGGTCACTTCTACCCTGCCCTACAAGGTCACTGTGAGTCAGAATCAACACCATGGCAGTGAGGTTTTTTTGTCCCCCACCCTGCCGCCCCCCTCCCCCCAGCCTGTCTGTCCTCTGTAAGACTTTCTTGTGGCGGAGTGGGTTATGCATGGAACTGCTAGTTCCCCCACCCACCCACCCCTGATAATGAGACTGTCTGCTTCTTGTCAGAGTTAAAGTCTAGAAAACCCCAAAGAAGGCCGTTCTACTCTGTCCTGTAGGGTCAGAATCGACTCAAGGGCAGTGAGGTTGGTTTGGGTCTGGTCTTTTCTACAAAGTATAAGTTGGGACTCTTTGCTAATTTAAATGCCTCCTTGAAGTGCTTCTACTTAAAAATGTTTCCAATAGTTTCTCTTTAAAAAACCTCGTATGTGAAAAGTTAGAGATCAATTAGCTGGCTTTGACCTACGTGGCATCGGGGCTACATATTGGGCTGCTGTTTTCTATTCCTGTAAAGTGTTACTGTCTCAGAAACCCATGCGGCCCGCTCCTAAATGGTTGCTATGGGTCAAAATCGATTCATTGGCAGTGAGATTGGTTTGGTTGGGAGCCCTCTATGTTTACAGCGAAGGAAACATTTCTATTCCCTCCTGAACTCCAAGTCCTTGGAAAGCATCAGCTTAAGAGCCCTGCCTGTTCTTCTCTTTATTGGTTCAACGAGGAGTGGCCGTTTTATGTCATGCCCTTCACAGGCTGTGGAGGTTCACCGGTTAGTAATGCAGACATGAATCTTGTCCCCACCCCGGCTGACGTTATTTATTTTATATATTAACTCTTTATTGTGAATTAGGTGAAGATTTATAGTACGGATCATCAGTTTTAGATTCACTGACTCCTCAACATTTGGTTTCAACTGATCCATAGTGACCCTCCCAATGTACCCTCAATGTCTCTTCCGGTTTCTGTTTCTGCGCTTTGTCCTTGGGTAGGGTACTAAACCTCTGATTCTCAGTGGTCCGTTAGTCTATCACAGGAGTGGGTTCAGCTCCTGACTTGAATGGTGGACTAAAGGTTTTAGTCTCTGGGGTCCCACTAGTCTCTTTCTCTGACTAGCAAGCCTGGTCTCTCTCATGATTTTGAGGGGTCTTTTTATATTTAGCTCCTACTCTACCCAGGACCTTCGAATGTGGGTCCTTTTTCAGAGCGGTTGGTGATGGTAGCTGGACACCATCTAGTTCTTCTGTTCTTGCTTGTGGATTCCGAGGTTTGCTGGGTCCCTTCATCCACTGGACTCATTGTTTCCATATGTCTTTTGATTTTTAGCACACTTCTTTCCGTATGGCCCCTGTTGCTCTTCACCCAAGTAGGGTATAGAAAATTAACTTTGTAGGCACTGAGATTTAGTCGCAAACAGAATTCCTGGGATCAGAGTGCTTTTTCAGTTTTCTGAACCCTTTGGGGGTTGAACGACCCTTTCACAGGGGTCGCCCGATTCATAGCAGTAGCAAAATGACAGTGATGAAGTAGCGACGAAAATAATTTTACGGTTGGGGGGGGTCACCACAACATGAGGAACTGCGTGAAAGAGTCGCAGCATTAGGAAGGTTGAGAGCCACTGTTTTAGATGGAGAGGGAAAAAAGAGTTACAAACTTAAATTACAGGCCCAGGTCCCCCAAATGTTATTTCCTCCTGAATTAGTCTGATGGTAAAACCTAGCCTGCTCTGACCTAGTGTGGGACTCTGTGTGTATTTTTGTTCTGTATTTGTCCTCCTTGGTGTGAATATCCCTAGCATTCATTGTGGAAATGTGAAGGCCCCTGTGTGTATACCAAAGGCAGAGTTTTGTGCACAAGCCCAAGCCCCTGCAAGAGTGCCCGGGAGAACCTTGCGCACGGGAGTCGCGGAGATCTTCCTGGAGGAGCACCTTCAGCTGAGACTTAAAAGATGAACTGGCAAAAGCATAGATCAAGCTTCGCAAAGGCCAGAAATGAGGGCGTGTGCGGATTATTATCTCGTAATTGATTCTCATTTAGGCACTGCAGTAGGTCCTAACAGGACTGTCTGAATGCCCAAGCCTGAACATGTCAGGGGCAACTTGGGGTGTCTAAAGCCCAAGATGAGCCCCATGGGAAATGGCCCTTGCCACCCTCAGGCCGCTCACAGGCCAGTAAGGAGCTAGGATAAATCCAGCCAAAATGCCCCCTCTGTTTCATCAGTTCCTGTTTAATGATGACTGACTGCTCCAACGTCTACTGAGGGCTTTCCATGAGTGGGGCTCTGTGAGAGGGAGGCAAGCTGCAAGATGAGTGAAACATGGGCCATGATTCTCTGGCACTCCCGGGGCTCTAGATGATTCTTTTGTGTCCTAGTTACCCGAGTGGGCCAACTGAGGACCGGGTGATCATGCAGAGAAAACAATGCAGGCCTTATTCCCCACCTCAGGGCATCACATTCTGGTGGCGACTGGAACTGGTCTTGCCCTCCAGGGTCACAGGCTGGTTGGGGAGGCACAGGGACAAGGTCTGGTCCCAGTCTCTAGGGCCTCCCCAACTCAGCAGTCAATTCTGAAACAGCCTCCTGCTCCTCCCCACTCCTCCAGGTAACTTGAAGCACTTGGTTCTCTTCCTCCACGAGGCCGTCCTGGTGCAATATGTGGACACTCTCAAACTCGCAGTGCCCTCCCTCATCTATACCTTGCAGAACAACCTCCAGTATGTTGCTATTTCCAACTTGCCAGCTGCTACTTTCCAGGTGAGCCCCAAGTCCCGCATGCCCCCCCCCCCAGGGGACCTGGTTGGTTTGGGGGATAATGGAATGTTCTGGGAGGGCTGCAGAGAGCAAGAGCTGTTTCCTCCTCAAAAGTCCTGAGAACTCCTGCAACCGCAGATCCCTTGCTTTGTGAAAACGGGGGCGGGAATGGAAATACCTGGAATCACCAGCATGCTGCGAAGCTTCAAAAAAGAAAGAAACAAAATAATAAGTTACAAATTATCAAGGGTTCAGGAGGGAGGGGGGAGCGGGGAGGGAGGGGGGAAAAAGAGGACCTGATGCCCGGGGCTTAAGTGGAGAGCAAATGTTTTGAGAATGATGAGGGCAATGAATGTACAAATGTGCTTTACACAATTGATGTATGTATGGATTGTGATAAGAGTTGTATGAGCCCCTAATAAAACGATTTAAAAAATTTAAAAGAAAGAATGCCCATGAAGAGCCCTTAGTTGGCAATAAACTTTAAGCTCTCTGAAAGCAATGTTGTAAAATGCTCAGGAGGCATAGTGGGTTTAACACTGAGCTCTACTGAGTGCAAGGTCAGTGGTTCAAACCTACCAGCTGCTCTGTCAGAAGATGATGAGGCTTTCTTCTCCCATAAAGATTTTAAATTCTCAGAAACCCAATGGGGCAGTTTTACTCTGTTGTATAGGGTTGTTGTGTTAGAATTAACTCGCTGGCAGTGGATTTGGGTTTATTTTCCGAAGAGCCTGGATGCTGGGGCCAGGCTGCCAGAGTTCAAATCCCAGGTATGCCACTTTCTGGTTGTCTGATATTAGGCAGGTCACCTAACTTTTCTGTGCCTTAATTTTCTCAACTTGAAATTGAGGGTTATAACAGTACCTACCTCATATGGGTGTGAGGATTCAGTGAGCTATTTCACAGAACATACTTAGACCCACATCTGACATGTACTTGAGTGCCATGTAAATGTTTGCTAATATTGCTCTGTGGTTGACTAATGTATACCAAAGTAGATCCCTGCGAAACCTTTATCTGTCAAGACCTCCTCACTCACAAAGCCTACCATTTACTCATTACCTACCCTGTGTGAAGGAGCCCTGATGACATAGTGGGTTAGGCATTGGACTGCCAACCACAAGGTCAGCAGTTCAAAACCACCAGCTATTCCTCAGGAGAAAGATGAAGCTTTCTACTCCCACGAAGGGCTGCCCACAGGGGCAGTTCTACCCTGCCCTCTAGCATTGCTGAGTCTGCCTCCACTTGATGGCAGTGAGTTGGCTGGCCGGCCTACATGCATTGGCCTTGCCTTCTAGGACTCAGGGCAAATACTTTGTCCCTAGTCACCCAGCTAGATAGTAGTGGGTTTGGGAGGTGGACTTGGGTGTGGCCAAGGACTTCCTGGCATAGCCATTCTGTCATGTACTTTCTGGGAGTCACTCAAAGCTGATCTCACTACCGTTCAGTTTATGGCCAGTGGTTGGGTATTATTGCTGTTTTTATTGTCAGCTGCCCCGCCCTGGCCCTCTGTTGTGCCTGGGGGCCCACAGTAAGTGCTGTTCCCCATGGGCTACATTAGGGTCAGCCCTCAGTGCCTTCCGCATGTCACTCACAGGTGACGTACCAGCTGAAGATCCTGACCACGGCGCTGTTCTCCGTGCTCATGCTGAACCGCAGCCTGACACGGCTGCAGTGGGCCTCCCTGCTGCTCCTCTTCACTGGCGTCGCCATTGTCCAGGCGCAGCAAGCCGGAGGCGGGAGCCCACGGCCACTGGATCAGAACCCCGGGGCAGGCCTTGCAGCTGTGGTGGCCTCCTGCCTCTCCTCAGGCTTCGCAGGCGTCTACTTTGAGAAGATCCTCAAAGGCAGCTCAGGCTCCGTGTGGCTGCGCAACCTGCAGCTCGGCCTCTTTGGCACAGCACTGGGCCTGGTGGGGCTCTGGTGGGCCGAGGGCACTGCCGTGGCCCGCCGCGGCTTCTTTTTTGGGTACACACCTGCTGTCTGGGGTGTCGTGCTCAACCAGGCCTTCGGTGGGCTCCTGGTGGCTGTTGTCGTCAAGTACGCTGACAACATTCTCAAGGGCTTTGCCACCTCCCTGTCCATAGTGCTGTCCACTGTTGCCTCCATTCGCCTCTTTGGTTTCCACGTGGACCCATTATTCGCCCTGGGCGCCGGGCTTGTCATCGGTGCCGTCTACCTCTACAGCCTTCCCCGAGGTGCAGCCCAGGCCTCAGCCACAGCCTCCGGGCCCTCCATGCACCAGCAGCCTCCCGGGCAACCGCCACCGCCGCCACCGCCGCCCGCCTCCCACCGCGGAGACCTCAGCCAGGAGCCCTTTCTGCCAAAGTCAGTGCTGGTGAAGTGAGGGTTGGCAGTGGTGGGGGAGCTAGGGAGGGGCCGGGGGTGGAGGGTGGTAGGTGGCTGGGGCTGGCAGGCAGTCTGGGCGTCATTGAGAGGTGGAGGAGGGGGCATCACCTCACCCTTTCGGATAGGCTGACCTCTCTCCCTAGAGGAGGTTTTAGGACTGGTTGCCTAGGCCAGCCCCTTGTGGGACAGGGTTAGGGATGTCATTCAAGGATCTTTTTTGTTTGTTTTTTGTCTGCCTCTGTCCGTTGGAGTTGTCCTCTCTCACATCTGAGAGAGCCCCTCCCAGCCTTTGCGCCTTCTGTTTAAGGAAAGGACAGATTGGCCAGAAGTCCTACTGCTCTCTAGTAATCACGGATGCCTACCTATGGGGCTCAACCTCCCATAGTTTCGAGGCCTTTTTTCCTCCCTCTCCACCACACTGGATCATGTCAGCAGCTTGGTCTCCCATGTGGACTTGAAGCTGCTTCTCTGAGACCCCCGTGAAACTGGACTCCTTGGGAATGCCTGGGGAGCAGAGGGCAAGGGTGATTGTTCATGGCTGCTGAACTTCCGCCATCAGCCTTGTCAGGGGGAAGGTGTGCAATCGGGGCTGTCGGGTGTAGTGTTTTGGGTTTTGATTCACAGTGTAATTGAATAATTGATAATCCAGGGTGGAGGAAGGGGCGGGGAGTGGGGGGCCGGTCTTTGCTGCCAGTGACTGAATCTCGTTGAATCTGAGACCGTCAGCTACCGGATGCAGTTATTTTCTGAAACATCCGGAGAGGAAAAATAAAGCTGCCAATCACACTCTTAATACCCCACTGGCTGTATGATGTACCCTTAAGGTACGTGCGTGCATGTATGTGTGAGAGAAAAGGGGGTGGGTCCTAGAATTGATGAAACATGGAACCTGCCCCTTGCATTCCCCAAAGCTTATTAACCCTTTAACTGTACTCGTGTGTGTGTGTGTGTGTGTGTGTGTGTGTGTGTGTACACATGCACGCATGGGAGGTGTCTGGGCTGTCTTTGCTATATGTAAATAGAGCCATTGGATCTTTATTTTTGATTAATTTGTTGATTTTTTGATTTGTTTTCTAAGGAACTGTAATGAATACCCAATGCCAAATAAAGATGTTGTATTTATTTAGTCCATGTGCTGCTTTCTGATCCTGGGGGGTGGGGGGGAATGCACGTGCACTCGCTCGCTCACTCACTCACTCACTCGCTCGCTCACTCCAAGGCATTGCTACTAACCCAGGGTGCCAGCCCCACTGCTGTTGCCCTTGGCTTGCTCAGGAAACCCAACTGCCACCCCGGCCCACCGCAGCTTTCTGTATTTCTTTCCTCCCATTCCTACCACAGGTTGCTCACCAAGGTGAAGGGCTCGTAGCCGCTGGGATTGAAGACGTTGCCCTGGCCCAGTTGGGGCCAAACTCTGATCAGTATTGGGGGGGGGGGTGAGGTAGACCCTAAACTCCCTGCTCCCACCACCACCCTCTTCCTTCCCAGGCTGAGCTGGCATGAATAACCTTTCTCTGGTTATGAGGGCATGGGCATGGCCCTACTCAGCCTTCAGCTCGGCCAACCTCATTCCCTTTCCATCCCCCCAGTACTTCTTAGGTGAATTTTTACAAATAAAGTGTGTTTTGCATCTCGCTGGCTGGGAAGCTGAGGGGGAAAGCAAGTGAGAGGGTGGGTAAGGGGAGGCAGGTGGAAGGACGTACTCAGGTCTCATAAGCATGATCCCAAGAAAAGCTTTTATTAAACACCCTCCAACCCTGCCCCTCCAACCCAGGGCTGCTGTGCACTGGCTCAGTCCTGCTGCTTGGTTCGGGAGGCCTCGGCATTGGCCCGGAGCACAGCCCCCGGGGACGGGTATGGGCGCTGCTGGAAGAGGGGTCCGGCTGCTGTTGTGTCTGCACCTGTCTTGGCCTCGTTCCGCTTGGGGAGCCCTGTTGACCATGTGCCCCTGGGGTGGGAAGGAATACACAGAAGACCGGGTGGGACTGTGGGGTGGGCTGGATCCCTCTGCCCAGGCCCGTGAGGAAATCAGGGAGAGGGAAAAAGTGATGCATAAAGGGCTGGCGATCTTTGGTTTGGGGAGAGTCAGGGGGTGGGAGAAAGGCTGGTGAATTGAGGGGTTGTCACTTACCGGGGCGCATCTGAGTATGAGCTGGGGTCCATGGGATCTAACTCCTCATCCTTTCGGCTTGCCACTGTGGAAGGAAGTGGGAGGGTGAAGTGCTGCGCAGGAGGAGCCTGGATTACCAAACACCTCCCCCCTGGCCGCAGCAGCACACTTGTTCCCCGGGGGGTGGGCTGAGGAGCATGCTGCCTCCCATTTTGCGTCGTAGACAGCTCGCTTACTTCCCCCTAGTCCCGGCCCTGCTCAGCTTACCCTTCTTGCTCTTGGGGTATGGAGCAAGCTCCTCCCGGCGATGGTGACGCCGTTCTTTAGCCTCTTCTCGGTCTGCTTTGTCATACCCGCGGTCACGGTCTCGATCTTTGTCCCGCTCTCTTTCTCTGTCTACCTTGTCATAGCTACGCTCTCGATCTCTGTCCAATTTGTCATGGGCCCGGTCCGGCTTCTCATGGGCCCGGTCGGGCTTGTCGTGGGCCCGGTCGGGCTTGTCGTGGGCCCGGTCGGGCTTGTCGTGGGCCCGGTCGGGCTTATCATGGCTCCAGTCCGACTTCTCCTCAACCTCTGGGGAGGCAGAGAAAACCTTGACATAACCTCCTTCCTCCCACCCCAACCCCAGGCCAACTTTCCCTTCAAGCACCTCTAGCCTGGAGCGAGGCTTATCTAGTCTCACCTGTTCTCTGATCTGTAATTTCCTTACCCCCAGTCTGAGAACTGCTAGAATAGCTTCAGGCACCCTTGTCAACTCACCTGCATTACTGCTTCTGAGCTTCTTAGCAGATTTGGTGACAACGAAGCTGGGGTCATGTGGGGAAAGCCAGGACACAAGGTCTGTGTCCACATTCCAGTAGTAAGGGAGCCCGCTGCAGGGCGACAAGGGGGGGAGGGAGCATCAGTCAGTACAGGTGTTCTCCGCCTCAACCCAGATCTCTGCCTGTACCTGCCCATATCAGGACCCCCAGAACTCTTCCCTGGTGTGTCACCCATAAACCCCAAGGCCAGGGATCACCCAGGGAGGGTCTGATTGGGAGTCATCCACCCCACACTGTCCCCCACCCCAACCAAGTCCCCAGACTCACCAGGAAGGATCAAACACCTTGTACCAGCTGGGTGGCAGGCCCTCCAACCGGGTAGCCTCATAGTCCACTGGGTCATCATCATAGTCCTCAGCAATGATCTCTTCCTCTGGCTCTGGCAGGATAAGGAAGGGGCGGGGGCAGTAGTTAAGGGGCAGGGGAGTCTCATCCTGCCCTCAGGGCCGCTTGCGAGCTAACGAGCCAGCCATGTTCACGTTCCAATACCTGACAAATCGTAAATGACACGAGGGCACACGCATGTGTGCACGCCAGGAAGCAGATAAAAATACTACTGGCCCCAAACCACAAATATCTGAACATAAGGGGACTCATCCTCAAATGATCCACATCTAGCATGGTTTTTTTTAATTTCATTTATTTATCGTCAGAAATAAATATTTCACAAGACATAATTACATTTTTTTTTCTTAGAAAGATACCATATTTTTATTACCTAAGATAATACATAAGACACCAAAGAATTCATTTTTATGTGCTATAACTAGTAAGAGAGCTTAGTAAAAAATGCAATATAACTAAATGTGGTAATTTTTTAAAACTAGGAGGGTTAGTACAAGAGTTCAGAAAATAGTTACCGAATATGAATGGTAAAACTGATAGAATGTAAAATGAAGAAAATCCTAGTCTTTATTCTGAAGCTAGATCAATACCATATCTTTTTTGGTACATATGTTGCCATCATTCTTTTCTACACATTTCTTTTCTTTTTTTTAATCATTTAATTAGGGGCTCATACAACTCTTATCACAATCCATACATACATTAATTGTGTAAAGCACATTTGTACATTCATTATCCTCATTCTCAAAACATTTGCTCTCCACCTGAGCCCCTGGCTACATATTGTTTTTGTGATGAATCACTATGGTTTAATTATGTTCAATTTGTAATAATGAAAATACACCCCGCCTACCAGATATTTACATGACGATTCATCCCAAATCTAGTATGTTTCTGGGTTCCATTGATAAGCCATACTGTTATCCAGACCTATCTGATTGCAGAGTTTAAAGTGCCAAGGGTTTATCCAATCATTGCTCTGGATCCATTTAATTCCTGAGTGGCAAGATATTATTGGCAAAGGGCCCACGGCAGAGACCTGCAGGTGTCCGTTGATAAAATACAAAGGTGCATATGAGCAGCTCTGGTGTCTGCCCTTTATTAGGCCTTTAACAGATTTCAGCTACTGGATGCCATTAACAATGAAATGTGTGTTTCAGCATAGAGCATAGTACCTGTTGCAAAATATGCCCCAAATAGAAGTCTGCTACTGTGGTTAGTATTGTTAATCAGATGCGAGGTCAACAGCACAGGGTTTAAAATGACTCCATAGGTTTGAAATGACTCTCAGTGGTCACTATCAGAATTATTAACCTTAAGGTCTATGTCCCAGAGCAAGCCATTAACTGATGTAGATTTCAACATGATGAACAGTAAAAAGTACTTTTCAGTGGAGCCCTGGAGGCTCTGTCTTGTTCATGTTGGACTGCTAACCAGGGCATCTGTGGTTCAAACCTGCCCCAGCTGTTCTGTGGAAGGGATGAGACTGTTTTCATAAAGATTTGGAAACCTTATATATCAGAGGTCCCCAAACTTATTTGGGATACTGCCACCCTTTCAGAAACAAACAAAAAAACAATTACTCAGCATCCTCAACCCCAACAGTGAACATTTTCTTTATTACTGTATAGCCCACCATCGAGGATAAAGTGTAAGTGCTTACTACTTTTGCAGCCCCCGTGTCATCATCCCCCCAATTGGTCCAGTGCCCACCAAGCGGTGGTATCGCCCACTTTGGGAAACACTGCTATACAGAGTCGCCCTGGGTCAGAATCTGCTCCACGGGAGTGGGTGAGTAGTGGCCACACCACAGCCTAAAATTAATGCCTACTTTCAATATTATTCATAATAAGGCATAAATATTAGCATCAGCAACAGTGTCGGCCTAAATGCTAGTCTCACTAGTATTATTTCATGCAGTGAGCAGAAAGTGCATGCCAGGCACTCAAAGCCAACTCCTAGTGACCCTGTAGAACCGGGTAGAGCTGCCCTGTGGGTTTCTAAGACTGTAGCTCTTTACCTGAGCAAAAGCCGCATGGCTCTCCCACAGAGTAGCTGGTGTTTTCTAACTACTGACCTTGAGATTTCCAGCCCAACCTGTAACCTGGTGTTTTGTAACTACTGACCTTGAGATTTCCAGCCCAACCTGTAACCACCACATCCCCCAAGGCTCCTCACGCCAGCTACTCCGTAGCCCAAAATATATGTCAGAGGCTGATACGGTGACCAGTAATTACATAGGAGTGGGCTTCAACAAGGTCATGGGGAAAAAATGGTTTGAAAAGACAATGGAATTTTTCCACGAATTCTTTGAAACCCCATAGTCTCATCAGCACAGTGGCAACAGCCGCCTGTAATAATGTTAACAACTAAGTATCAACATCTCGAGGGCGGTGGAGTACTTGGCATGCTGGAGCCTGCAGTAGATATCTGCTCCTCTTACTATTGTATACTTTGTTACCACTCCACGGAAACTGGGCTGCCAAAAGCCAAAACAAGCACCAGCTGTCGGTATTGTGGAGGATAAAGCAGTTGTGCCCCTACTTAATGTATGTTAATATCCACAACAAAGTTGCCACCCAGCCAAGCACATGGTGAGCCCTTCTGCTCTTAGCTCTCACCGGGCTCCAGATGTTTGAGGATGCCTCTCTTGGCCAGCCGGGTCTGCAGCGCCACGGGCAGTGGCATAGTGAATAGCCGAAAGTCTAAAATCCAGGAGAGAAGGATTAGAATTCAGATCTGTAACCAAGCGCGCACCCCTCCCCCCATCCCTCGCAACTATTCAGCTGAGCCCCCACCTCTCCTTCTGCGCCAGTAGCTGGGTGGGTGAGAACGCCAGCGCTCAAAAGGGAGTAAAGGAGCAATTTCCCCAACACTCTCACCTACCTTCTTCCAGTGCAGGCGTCTGGAATTTCACTCCCAAGCCCAGGCTCTGCCCGCAAAGGAAGTCAAGCGCGACCCTCCCCCTCCCGTGCCCTCATAATGGACTCACCCAACGTCCCCCTAAGACTGCCCGATGGGAGGAACCCAAGCGTTGAAATGGGGCCCAGTGAAGCACTTCCTCCAGCTCCCAAGAGGGTACCCACCCTGACGTTACCACTAGGTTCGTGGGCAGTGAGAGGCTGTCACGTCGGCGAGCTCGCCAGGCCCACACAGCTCTGCACTCCCAGAGCCCAGGAGGTCTTTGCTTCCTGAACCCTTAGGTAACCGGGAGACGCTAGAAGGCTACAGTGAATAGATGACGTCACCTGGGAGGCCAATGAGATCGGGAGTTTGGCCTTACGTGTAGCGAAGCAACCCAACCCTCGTCCTGGAATAGGTGGATCGCTCGGGCGCCCGGGCGCGCTTACTCGAGGGGCGTGGCCGCGCCACTTCGGGCCTGACTGCGCGGCAGGGTCGCCGGCGCCATGGAGGAGTACGCTCGGGAGCCTTGGTACGGCGGTGGGCGCTGGCATCGGCGCTGTGACCAGCTGGGGGGGGCGGGGGGTGGGGGAGGGCGCACCGGCCACGTGGCGCCACGCGGCAGATTTAGGAATTTAGCTCTTTTCACTCCCCTGCTTGGTTCTCCCACCCAGAGAGCCAGCCCCCGTGCATCCGCCCGGAGGAGGTGCGGCATGGGGCGAAGCCCGTCTCGTTGCCCCTGACTCTGGTCTCCTATCCCCTCTGTGTCAACACGCTGGTCGGATCCATTTCAGCTGGGGGCCGGGGGAGGAAGGGGTGGTGCGCCCTGGAGGCGAAATCCGCTGCGTTACCACGCGTGGCGTTTCTTAGCGCTCTTCAGGCAATGAAGGGTGGAGCCTGGATGAGCTTATTGTGGGCCCGAGGGGAGTACGGAGGCTCGATGGCAGTCAGTGGCTTTGTTTCTTTTAAAATAGATATATTTTTTAATTTAGCTAGCTGACACTTCTATGTCACTTATTTAAAGGTGCCCACTCTTTGCCTGTATCAATTCATTAGTCTTTAGTAGTAATAATGTGCCTGGCTGATTGCCTACATGGGCTGTGAAGGGGGTGGCGCGGGGAGCGGGAAGGGTGAAGAAAACCCGTGGAACACTACTACCGTGTCAGGGCCAGGCTCGTGTTAACCTCTTCCTCCTCGTTCCCTTTTGCAGCCCATGGCGCATTGTGGATGATTGTGGCGGAGCCTTCACCATGGGTGTCATGGGTGGCGGAGTGTTCCAGGCCATCAAAGGCTTCCGCAATGCCCCTGCTGTAAGCCTGGGCCGGTCCCCTGGCGGCGTGGGGGTTGGCCCACCAGCCTGCATCGGGTCCTGCCCTGAACACTGCCAGTCACATGCACTTATTCATTCTGATGCCTGCTCACCTACTACGTGCCAGCCCTGCTTTCCAGATATGGGGTCTTCGGGGGGAAACGACAAACATGGCCTCTGCTGTTCTCCTTGCCCCCCAAACCGGGGGCACCTCAATGGACATGCTGCCCTATGCAAACAAGCATCACCAAACCCTAGATGTGTATGCAGAGCCTAGCAGACTGTGCCTGTAAGAAGATTCTGTATCCAAAGCTTGGATAGAGGGAGCTCACAGAAGCTTAATTGACGGAGGGAAGGACAGCCCCCAAATCAAGCAAGGTCTTTTAATTGAACACAACTGTCTTATTTCTCTGACAACACCCTCACCCCACCACCTGGCACCAGGGGATCTCATGAAATATTGTGGCTTTAAATGCCATCTATTTGCCCAGGTCTCTGCAGTTTCACTATCTAGCCCCGTCTCTCCCTTGAACTCTATAGACACAACTGTCACCTTGACATCTCCCCTTGATTATGACCAACCTTCAACTTGCCAGGTCAAAATAGAGCTTCAGATCTAATCTCATCAGTCAGCCTCATCTCTGGAAATGACCCTTCCCGCTTCTAGTTGTCGAGGCACCAAACCTTAGCCTCATTCTCGTCTCCTCTTGTGTTTGCCCTGACACTTCATTATGCATCTATTCAGCAAAACTCCCAGACTCAGCCTCCACAACTTATGTTCTCACATGAGTGACTTCTCAATTCCTCTGTCACCATTCTGGCCGGAGTCCCTATGACTGCGGTCGTCTTCACGTTCATCACTTTGGAGTCTTGGACCACTTCAGTCAGAAGGTTCCTGATCCTTTTCCTTCCTTCTAATTCTCAAATAGCTCTGATTCTTTCAGATAAAAGCCAAACTCCTTGTTATGTCTCATACCAGTGCTTCCCCAAATGAGAGATACTGCCCCTGCCCCCACCCACCCCAGAGGAGGTGCCGAGTGATCCAGGGGCCCATGCTAAAGCAGTTAGCCACACTCTGTCCTGGCTTATAGGCAATAGTGCAAAAATTGTTAAAACCAGGGCACTGAGTACAATTTCTTTTTCCTGAAAAGGGGGTGTGAGGCCAAATCCGTTTGGGAACCTCTGCCTTCCACAGTCATACCTGCCTACCTCCCGGTGCCCATCTTTTACACTTCCTTGGCCATTTGACTTTACCCTCTCTGGCCTTTTCACTCTTCCTGCAGTACCCCTGGCTCATGCCTGCCTCACAGCCTTCGAACTTGCTGTCACCTTCACCAGAAACCCCCTTGCCTGGATCTTTGCCCATGCCTCTCCTCATCCTCAAGGTCTCAGTCCAAATGCCCCCGCCTTAAAGAGGCCTTTCCTGACAGGGCAGCCACTCTCTTATGTCTTTGTTCCTGCTTGTTCCTTCTGAAGTGCTTAGTGCTGCCCGGGACTCTCTTGTTTATTGGTTTGCAGCCTGACTCAGGATCCAACTTTCCCACTACAAGGTGAACTCCAAAAGGATCAGGACCCAGGCCTGGTTTGGTCACTGCCACGTCCCCGCGTTTAACATGGCGCCTGGCACATAGTAGGTGCTCAGTAATTATTGAGGCAATGAATGGATGATGATGGCTCAAGCCAGCTTTGAGATCACTTCTGGCAGGTGTTCCTTAGTGGTTTTTCCACAGCTCGGCCCTTAACGCCCCTAACGGCTCCCATCCCCATGCGTCCTTTCAAAGCCAGACAGACATTCCATCTGCCAGCGGCCATCCCTCTGCCCTGATTCCCCTTCTCCTTACTTTTCCCCAGGGGATTCGCCACCGTTTGAGAGGTAGTGTCAGTGCTGTGAGGATTCGAAGCCCCCAGATCGGAGGTGAGAGGCTTGTGAAGATAAGAGCGATGGTGGCAAACCTGGTGGGAAGAGCTTGCCCCTGTGGGCCTAGACTTCGAGTTGGAGGTCCAGATCCAGCCTGACTCTACCTGGGATTTCCTGTGGGGTGGTGACTGTACCCAACTGAACTTTGGGAACTGAGATGGCGGTGACAGTAGCCACCACTGTAGTTTGGTACCTAACAGATCAAGCATTTAAAGTAGACATCGTTATTAGGGTGGTTGTGTTAAGAACATGAATATCACTGACTGACTTTTAACAACTTGAGAAGTTAAATAGCCCACAGTGCCAAGAGTAGGACCTGGCAGAGAGGAAGCCCCCGGACAGCATTTTAGCTCTCCTTGTGGACTGCTTGGCTTTCCTAACCTGGGTCCTTCCCCCTGGTGGTGCAGGGGTTAAGCACCCAGCTGCTAACTAAAAGAACGCAGCTGGAGCCCGCCACCTGCCACCTGCTCTGGGAGAGACATGGCCATCCACTTCTGGAAACGTGACAGCTTGGGGAATCCTGTGGGGCAGGTCCATTCTGTCCTGTAGGGTTGCTGTGGGTTAGTATACTTAGTTCGTCGCCCTGCAACCAAGACCAGAATTTTGATTGTTGTGATGAGTTACAATGGTCAAAGCTGTTCCGTTGAAAACCATATACAGTAGAAGGTGAATCTACTGTATATACTCGTGTGTAAGCTGAGTTTTTCAGCACATTTTTAATGCAGATTTTATGGTAAAATTAGGTGCCCCGGCTGGTATTCGGGTCAGCTTGTACTCCAGTATAAACGGTACTTGTGAACGTTTCAGAACTCCCTCCAAAGTTGAAGGGTGAATTGATGGCCGTTGTGGATGACTTGAAGTGGGACCTACCACAGGACAGGGCAGACCAGAACTAGGTCTTGGGATTTTGCTGTCTGGGTGGTTCTTCTCTCTCTTGGGTAGCAAATTCCGCTGCTGGACATCCCCAGACTCTGAGACTTGGTGGTGTGAGAGTGCCGGGGAACACTGGGCCTTGATCTCCTTGCAGGTAGCTTTGCGGTATGGGGGGGCCTGTTTTCCACCATTGACTGTGGCTTGGTGCGGCTGCGGGGCAAGGAAGACCCCTGGAACTCCATCACCAGTGGAGCATTGACTGGTGCTGTGCTGGCAGCCCGCAGTAAGTACCCCCAGGCCTGACCCCAGCCCCAGCCCCCACATCTGCTTGCCCTCACCACTCTCTCTGCCTCCTCCCTACTCCAGGCGGCCCACTGGCCATGGTAGGCTCAGCCATGATGGGGGGCATCCTGTTGGCCCTCATCGAGGGTGTCGGCATCCTCCTCACTCGCTACACTGCCCAGCAGTTCCGCAATGGTGAGTACCTGGCTGGCACTGGCAGGGAGGGAGGCGCATGTACCAGCCAGTCTCCTCTGCTTGCTCTTATCTCCTTCTTCCCTCCTTAGTGTCCCCATTCCTGGAGGACCCCAGCCAGCAGCCCTCCAAGGAGGGTGCTCCAGCCCCAGGCTATCCTGGCTACCAGCAATACCACTGAGGAAGCGACCACCTAACGCCGCCACCGTGGGAACCCCTCCTCGGGCCCCCTCCCCGATGATCTACCTCGAAGGGAGGGCTGGCTCCCAGTTGGCCCCAGACCCCACCAGAGAGGGCCTCTCTTCTACTGCCCTGTCCCACGGTGGGGAGGGGGCACCACAGCCCCCTTTTCTCTCTCAGGGCATCCCTAGCCCCACACTCACATGTAACGGATTCTCACCCCGACCCCTTTGTGTGGTGCCCTGAAGAGTATTTAAAGCCAGTTTTGAAAAGTCTATTCATGGACTCCTTGGACTACCCATGTGAGCCCTGTTTCAAACAATGCGGCAGAGCCGGAGGACTGGGGGTCCAAAAGAGAGCAGATGCTAGTAAATGCCTGTGGGGCGAATGACGGAGAGGGGCCAAGAATGAATGTGAGGTACATGTACGGGGCGGTGTGGGGGCTAAGTGGTGAGTCCTGCCCCCAGAGGAACGGGTTTGGCAAGGAGTGCTAGATAAGCCTTGCAAGGGTGGTGGTGACTGTGTGGTTCTGTGAGTGGTGGCCCTGGGCAACCTCCCACACCCAACAGCCCTGCTCCCTCCCTCCCTCTTTCTCATCTCTCCCTCTCTACTTACCACAAGACTTCTGCTCTCTGATGCTCAGTGTCACCTGTCAGGATTTTCCAAAGGGGAGCCACAAAGAACCAGAACTGCTTTTCCCTTTGTGGGGGTGGGAAGGTACCACTCTAGGGCTGGTACAGACACTGTCTCCTCTCCCCAGAGGGCTCCGCTGAAGTGGAAGGTAGCACCTCTCTCCAGGCATCTGCCTCACAGAGGAATAAACCTGCCAGTGCAAATGCCCCAGGGCAGGGCATGGAGGGCGGGGCGCAAAGGCCTTCAATTGGAGTCAACTCTTTCCTCCACAGAAAAATCCCTATCTTGCCATCCAGCCTGAAGAAATGGAAGCATCATCTCTTTCTTCCTGAACAAGAGTCACAAGTGCTAGGTCCCTGGGTCTCCTAAGGCCTCATTAGGGAGCCAATGGGCCCTAGTAGGAACAGAGCTGTGACACCTCCTTGCTTGTGTGGCTCAGTGTCAGGCAGTATGTAGTTGTCACGTGACCAAGGGCCCCAGCCTGCTGACCCAAGGGCCATGCACACACATCTCTCAACACCGCGCAGCAGGGCCACAGCTTCAGACCCCTGGCTCAGGCCATCGACATACCTCCCTGCGGGCCCCAGGCACCACTCAGACCTAGAGTGAGAGTAGGTCTTGCCCCCTCAGGACCTTCCAGTGGTCCTGTCCTTCCTTCCCTCCAGGCCTCCTCTCCCTGAACTTGTAAGTTTTACCCTGATCTTACCAAGCACTAGTGTCACTAGTTCCTCTAGGTCTTTCCCAGGCTCCCTGTGGCCCTGGCCTCCTTGACACCCACCCCTCCCCTCCCCGGCTGCAGGGTGCTGTAGTCTTTGAACCTTCCTGTTTCCAGCATCTCCCAGCTTCACCCTTTTCAGTACTGCTCTCCATGGCTCCTGCAGGCCCTTCCTCTTTTATATATAGACTTAGCTGCTGGTGGCATTGAGGATTAGGTGTCGGGCTGCTAGCTGCAAGGTCATGGGTTCAAATCCGCAGGAGAAAGCTGTGGCTGGCTGCGCTAATGAAGATTTAGTCTCAAAAACAAAAGTTTTAGTCTCAGAGCTGAGGCGAGAGGGGTAAGATGGATGCCAAGACACATGGCAAGCTCCGAAGAACTGAGAAGCAGAAGCTAAAGAGACAAAGACCTACCAGAGGCGGTGGAGTGGGAGAGGCAGACAGCTCCTGGTGGTGTCGTGGTTGCTCATTGGGCTGCTGACCACAAGAGCAGCAGTTCTAAACCACCAGCTGTTCTGCTGGAGAAAGACAAAGCTTTTTTCTCCTGTAAAGAGTTCCAGTCTTGGAAACTCAGTGGCAGTTCTACCCTGGCCTGTAGTGTAGCTGTGAGTCAGCATCGATTCGATGGCAGTGAGAAGATAGATGTTAGGGCGTTGTCCTTTTTTTTTTTTTTTTTAAGATCATTTCATTAGGGGCTCTTACAAATCTTATAACAATCCATAATTCAATTGTATTACGCACACTTGTTGCATATATTGCCATCAACATTTCCAAAACATTTTCTTTCTACTTGAGCCCCTGGTATCAGCTCCTCTTTTTTCCCCTACCCTCCCACCCTTGATCAATTATATATTATTGTTATTATTTCGTGTCTTACACTGTCCATTGCTCTCTTCACCCACATTTCTGTTATTTGTCCCCCTGAAGGGTGGGCTATATATCCAACTTTGTGATGGGTTTCCCCTATCTCTCCCCCCAACCCCCACAATCTTCCTACCCTCATGATATGATATCACTACTCCCGCTACTCTTCCTGAGGGGTTTATCTGTCCTGAATTCCATGTGTGGAGAGCTCTTATTTGTACCAATGTGTGTACTCTGGTCTAACCGGATTTGTAAAGTAGAACTGGGTCATGGTTGGGGGAGGGCAGCATTCAGGAACTAGAGGAATGATGTGTGTTTTGTCAGTGCTATGTTGCACCCTGGTTGAATGGTCCCTTGCAACCCTTCTATGGCAGTACGAGACTAACTCTTTCTGAGAGTAGAAAACCACATCTCTCTCCCATGGAACCAGCTGGTGGTTTTGAACTGCTGTCCTTGAGGATCACAGTCCAACACGTAACTACTACACCTCCAGAGCTCCTCCACAACCTGACCCAGTTGCAATGCTAGCATCGTGGCCTTTGGAAGTAAAAATAAGGACAGGAACTCATTAGATAAATGGAGCCTCTTTAGAAAGAAACCTGATTCAGGAGGTTTTGCCACCCAGACCTACAGAAGAGCCCAGATGCCCTCTCCAATGGAACTGGTCCATGTGCACGTGTGCAAGCCCCCTGCCTGACTGAGGATCCAGCAGCCCTCAAGTCTTCCAAGATGAACTCCTAGTGATGGACAGGAAGAAACAAACACCCTGGACCCATCAGCTCAAACCTCATGACTTGATTGTGCTCACACCCACTAGCTTCTAGAACTCTCTGTTCTAGAGATTCTGGGTTGAGTCCCTTAGGCCCCTTTTACTTTGATTCTGACATGGGAAAGATATTTAAAAAGTAAAACAAACCCCAAACCTATTAAACCCAGGCTAGAGCTGGGGGCATCATTGGCTTTTGAAAAAGCCATTTTCTACTGCTTTAATGTAGATGAAATTATCTCAGCAGTGGTGAATAGGAGCCTGCATGTCCTATTTCTGTATCATTTCCTCCACACAGGAGGTTGGCTCAGAGCTTCTTAAGTCGATGCTTGGGCTGTTTCCAGACCCAGGGTTCGTGGTTCCCTTACCACTAATGATGTGAGCATCAACAGGTGTGGAGTGAACATGCGCACTCACCAGTTCCAACCACTTGGGTCCTTGTGACCGCTGGACACAGGGCTGTTGCTGCACACTGGCTTGACTGGCTAAGAGCTATTTGAAATCTGGGTACAGTGAACAGCAAGACCTGTGCTGAAACTGGCCTCTCCTTGCCTTTTTGATAGACCTAATGAATCACTTTTGGGAGAAACGGTATGGGCGGCCATATCTGACCTCCCTGTTGCCCTGAGGTGGGAGTCAGACACACCTCCGCCCTGCGTGTAGCAGCCATTTCAGTTTCCCTGCATGGATCCAGTACTTCATTGTGATGGCCGCACACCACCCTCACCATTATGGAGGTCTATTAGGGATGTTAGCAGGCACCGTACCCAGTAAGGGTACAGTCGTGGGCCCACAGCAGCACCTCTCCTCAGCCACCAGCCAACTCTCTTTCTGGTCCTTAGCCTCTGAGCCTTGTGGTCCTTTGGCTTCTCCCTCTGTGAGTCAGGAAGCCTGCCTGTCTGTCGCTCTGTCTTACAGCCTCACAGACCAGATGAGGAGAAGGTCCACCCAGAGTCTCAGCACTGCTTCTCTGAGTCCCTGGTCTCAGACTCCACCTCTTAAACTGGAGATCTGAGATGGCTCCTCTCCACAGAAGAATGGCTTTGACGGAGGTATGGCTTTTTTCTTTTACTGGGCCATGGCAAACAGAGAATAGATTGAAGTTATCAAGGATTTCGTCTTGCTTGGGTCCACAATCAATTCTCATGGAAACATCAGTCTAGAGAGCAAAAGACACGTGGCATTGGGTAAATCTGCTGCACAAGACCTCCTTACAATGTACAAAAGCCAGGATATGACTTTGAGGATTAAGATGAGCCTGACATAAGCCATGGTGTTTTCAATGGCCTTATATGCACGCGAAAGCTGGACGTTGAATAAGAAGAATCAGTGTGTTTGAATTAGGGTGCTCTAGACTCAAAGTACCCTGTGCTGCCAAAAGAACAAATAATCTGCCCTGGAAGTACAACCAAAGGGCTTCTCAGAGGCAGGGCTGGTGAGCCAGTTTCACATACCTTGGACATGTTGTCAGCAGAGACAAGACTCTGGAGAAGAGCATCATGCTTGTCAAAGTAGTGAGGGCAGCGAAAGAGAGGAAGACCTTCGATTGACACTGGGCTCATGCATAGAAACCATTGTGAGGATGGGCGGGAGCCGGCAGTGTGGTCTTCTGTTATGCGTAGGATCACTATGGCTCAGAACTGACTCGATGGTACCTAACAACAACAAGGAACAAAGGATGGTGACTTCAACCATCCCCTCGAGTAAAGTAGATGGGAGGAAGACGAGGCTTTCTACTCCTGTAAACGGTTACGGTCTCGGAAACTCAAAGGGGCAGTTCTACCCTGTCCCGTAGGGCTGCTATGAGTCGGCAGTAAGTGTGAGTGAGTAGAATCCAAAGATACACCCTCCCTTAATCTTGGAACAGAGAACCGAGAATGCAATTCCGAAATGGGATTGTAGCCACAGGCACAGAGTTCAGCATTAGAAAACATCACCACCGAAAGTGTGGCTAGAAGGGCCGTGTTAATTGAGCACATCTCCACTTGGCCTGCAGCCTGTTCTTTTTTTTTTTTTTTTTTCCTATAGCCTGTTCTTAATGTGATCCCTCTCGGGCCAGTGCTACTGGAGGAATCTTCCGCTTCATGCGTCACGCAGAGCAAACACCCGGCTTATAAATCCTTTCTTGAACCTTAACGTCAGATTAATTCAATGCCAATTACGTCAGACAGTTCAGGAAGGTTGAGCAGTTAGTGTATTTCTTTAACGTGGACACTAATTTCTTTGACAGCAGAGCAGATGATAGACCTACAGTTAAAAGATAGCCTCGAGGTGCCTGTGAAATTACCGTCACCTGTTGG